ACGACGACCAAGGCCCCAAGTCGTCCCTGCAAACCCCGGCAAGTCGCGGCACCTCACATGCTCGGCCCGCATACTCGGCACATATGGGTCGTCGCGTTGCGGCGGGGGAGAGCCGAGTAGAGTTCGGGGATTCGGTTCAGAGAGGGCGATTCGGCCGGGACCGGGGAGACATTAAATGGTCGGAGTTGGGGCACAGAATAGTGGCTGCCTCAGCGGGTTCATCCGTAGTTACCGGATCTATTGATGGGGTCGAGGTCAGGGTGTTAGTGGACACGGGGGCATCGGCGACTATTATATCGGATCTCATTTATAATATTCTCCCTGTACAATGTCGTCCGCTTCTTCCGTTGGATGTGCCATTTTACGCCGCTAACGGGGGATCGTTGGGCATTATCGGTCAGATTAGGGCATCCATTTGCATTGGTGATATCAAATTGTCGGGACCCGTTTTTGTTTCGTCCTCCCTGGCGGTCCCTTGTCTATTGGGCACTGATATTTTGGCAAAAATGCCCATCAAAATTCTCATTGATCAGCGTTGCATTGAACTACCATCGGGTCGCCGTATTTCATTTTTGACGAGCCCTAATGAAATTCGGACGGCGTGCGCTACCATACAGGCGTTAGCGACACAGACCGTGCACGTGCCTCCGGGTTCACAAATGTTAATTCCCCTCCGGTTGCGGAAGCCATTGGTGAAGGAGGCCTCGGAACAGGGCATGCTTTTGGGTCCTTCTAATAGGGCTGTTGGAGGTCTTGATTTGTCGGTGGCTCACACTTTGGTGGGGGCTGACAGGGATCCGTTTGTGATGGTTTTAAACGCTGGGGCGCGGCCGGCCGTCATTCAGCAGGGCACCGTGCTAGCTCACGCGGCGCGGGTCCCTGCGGAGGAGAGGCTGGTTGCGCAGGCGGATCCGAGTCCCACGAAAAACGTTACATTGAAGGAGGACCTCGATTGGGTTGATTCGCTGTGCGCGGACTCTGACGATTTATCAGCGGTACAGTTGGGTGCGCTGCGCGGGTTGCTCATTGAATTTTCGGATGTCTTCAGTAAACATAAGTATGACATTGGGTGCACGGACCTGCTATGCCACCACATTGAAACGGGCGATGCGGCACCGGTCAGGCAAAATCCCTTCCGACTGAGTCCTGCTGAGAAGGAACATGTTCAGTCGGCAGTTAACGATATGCTAGAAGCCGACATTATTTCGCCTTCCTCCAGTCCTTGGGGAGCGCCTATCGTGCTCGTTAAAAAGCAGGACGGGTCCCTGCGATTTTGCGTCGATTTCCGTCGCCTGAATAAGATCTCTGTGGCCGACGCGTATCCGCTCCCCAGGATGGACGAGTCTCTCGACGCATTGTCTGGTGCGCGATACTTTTCGACTCTTGATTTATTATCCGGATTCTGGCAGTTGCCACTCGACGAAGAGTCTAAGCCTAAGACCGCATTTCGGACTCCAGGGGGCCTGTTTCAGTTTAACCGGTTACCCATGGGACTTCACTCCTCTCCGGCGACGTTTCAGCGTCTTATGGAATTGGTTTTGTCGGGCTTGCAGTGGGATACGTGCCTCATTTACCTTGACAATGTCATTGTTTTCGGTAAAACGTTTGAAGAACACCTCCAGCGATTGAGGGGGGTGTTCTTGCGAATGCGATCGGCTAAATTAAAGTTTAAACCGGCCAAATGCCACCTTTTTCGTAAATCCGTGAGGTACTTGGGTCACATTGTCGACTCTTCGGGGATTTCCACCGATCCTGCGAAGACGGACTGTGTCAGTTCGTGGCCAACGCCCACGTCAGTGTCAGACGTACGCAGTTTCATCGGTTTTGCTTCGTATTATCGCCGATTCGTTGAGCACTTTGCCACCATTGCAAAACCCTTGCACGCTCTAACGGCGAAAGGAGTGAAGTTCCGATGGGGACCGGAGGAGGAGGCTGCATTCTGCTCCCTCCGGGACGCCTTGGTTAGGGCCCCACCCTTGCGCTATCCGGACTTCGTGAGTCCCTTCTTGCTAGACACGGACGCTAGCAACACGGGCATTGGGGGAGTGCTGTCCCAAGTCGTTGGAGGGGTCGAACGGGTGGTCGCCTATGGTAGCAGGGTGTTGTCGCCGGCAGAGCAGCGCTACTGCGTCACCCGTCGCGAACTGCTTGCCATTGTTTTTTTTGTACAACAATTCAGGCCATATCTCTATGGCCGTCATTTCACGGTCCGGACGGACCACGCGGCGCTCCAGTATTCATTGCGGGTCGCCCAGCCCTCGGGCCAATTGTCGCGGTGGTTGGAAGTCCTCCAGGACTATCAGTTCACGACTACGTACCGTAAAGGCTTGCGACACACAAATGCCGATGCCCTGTCGCGGTTGTTGCCTTGTCACAAATGTGCGTGCTTATCGGGATCGGCGCGCTGTAAACCGCCGGTTACGGAAGGTAGGGAGGCGTTGGTTGCGGCCGCGAGCACACCAATTGGGGATGGTCCCGCTACCCCTGGGGGTCAGGACTCGCTGCTCTCAATGTCATTGATTGAGTGGGGCCGTCTCCAAATGGCGGACAGCTCCCTGCTGGCATTGCGCCGCAAGACGGGGGGTTCCGAAGGTAACCACGACCGAACTGGCTCCTACGAGCTTAAGCAAGGCCTATTGATGAGATGGGACAGTTTGTCCCGGCGGCATGCGATTGTGGTGCCTGCTGCTGTGAGGGGGAAGGTTGTCTTGGCCGCACACGAACGCCTCTTGCATTTGGGAGTTAACAAAACGCTTGCCCTGCTTCAGCGTGACTATTATTGGCCGGGAATGGGGGGTGACGTGGTGAATATTCTGAAGGGTTGTGTTGAGTGCGCCAGACGGAAACCACCGCCTGTGCCAGCTAATCCACCGCTGCAATCCATCCAGGTCTCGCGCACTAACGAGCTCGTTGCACTCGATATTCTGGGGCCTTTTCCGGTCACGCCTAGGGGTAATAAGTACCTGTTGGTGGGGGTCGAATATTTTACCCGGTGGCCTATGGCGTGGCCACTCGCCAACCAGTCGGCGGCGGCTGTGACGGACGCCTTTGTCCAGGGCTACGTCCTGGACAAGGGGGCTCCCGAACGCTTGCTGACTGACCAAGGGAAGAATTTTTCGAGTAAATTACTGCAAGAGGTGTGCGACCTGTTGGGTACCAAGAAGGTGCGTACCTCCCCGTACCACCCGCAGACGGACGGGATGGTGGAGAGGCTTAACAGGACATTGACTTCTATGTTGTGCCAGCAGGTGTGTGAGGCGCATGTTGATTGGGACCTGCAGGTCCCTGGGGTCCTCGCCGCGTATAGAATGGCCCCCCATGCAGCTACGGGATTTTCCCCGTTTTATCTGATGTACGGTCGGGAAGCCGACCCGCCCATGGAAACGCAGCTGGGTCTGTCCGCACCACGGGCAAATTCGAAATTGGCAGAGCATATTAAATTTAATATTCATAAGCTGACAGAGGCAAGGGAGGCCGCACGGCTTAATTCACGGGCTCGCCAAATTGCAAACGAGCGGTTGCGGGCACGGAAGGTGTCCGTGCACAATTGGGAACCAGGTGACAGGGCCTGGCTGCATTGCCCGCAGGCACCTTTGGCTACGTCGCCTAAATTGTTGAAGCCGTGGCGGGGACCCGTGGAGGTCGTGCGGGTTGCACGCCCCCAGTGCGTTCAGATAAAATGGGGAAAACGCCGTTGGTACGTCCACCCCTCCCGACTGAAACCGTTCTCGCCTCCGTATGGCCTCCCCTTGTGTCATGAGGGCCGAGCATGTGACGTGACCAGCGACCCTAAGGGGGAATTGTCTTTGCCTGCTCCTCACATGTCTCCGCCTGATCCGCTCCCAGGTGTCTCGGAACTGACAGCTGCCGACCACCGGCGGCCGGATCTTGAGCGGCCGGAGCCACCGGACGGTCGCCAACGTCCCGTCCCATACGACGGACCGGCTAGACGGACTCGCGCTAGGTCGCGCTACTTTGTGTGACCTGCCACGTGAGGAGTCGAGGCAGCCGGAGCGCCTCGGCACTGCGTTTAGTCACAGAGACACTTGGCGCGTTCGGTTTCCGGTGCTCGCTTTTATTGTGTTCGTTTTCCGGTGTTCGCTTTTATTGTGTTGTTCGTCGGGCTGTATATTGCTTCATATTTAAGTGTTGTGTTGTGTTGTTGTTGTTGCGTTACGGGGCACACTGAGAGGTGGAGTTTCTTTGTTACTGCATTGACGTTAGGTTGTGTTGTTGGTTAACAGCCGGGCCGGCTGCAAGCTATGTGGGAGGGGGTGATGTAGAGGTGATACGCGCTGGGATTAGAGATCGTATGCCAGCGCGTAATGATTGGCTGTGTAGGTGGTGACGTGCGCTGACGGTGGAGGATCAGGGGTCAGCGCGGGGTCGTGGGTTACGGGGTACTGATTGGCTGTGGACCGGTGACGTGCTGAGAGGGAGTGATCGGGTGGCAGCGCGGTGTGATTGGTGGAGGAGTGTTAACACGCGCTGGGGAAAACGGATCGTAGAGAGAGTGCGTCGTGATTGGTTCATTAAGGAGCGATGCTCACGTTGAAGTACGCATCAGCTCCGCCTCTCGTGAGCAGGGGCTATAAAAGGGGATGCACACAGGCGTGAGGGCAGTGTGTAACCAGCGAAGAATGAAGACGGGGATGAAGACCTAGGGCCCTGCGGTACCTAGTCCCGCTGTCCTAACGGGACCGGGACTCTGTGTAACCCAGAGGCGAGTGTAGTGAGTGTAGCCATAGGCGTAAGGTCTAAACGAGCCGAATGCAGTGTATTGTGTAGCCAGGGACATAGGGTCTACACGAGTCGAGTGTATTGTGTAGCCAGGGACATAGGGTCTACACGAGTCGAGTGTATTGTGTAGCCAGGGACATAGGGTCTACACGAGTCGAGTGTATTGTGTAGCCAGAGGCGTAGGGTCTACACGAGTGAAGGGTATCGTGTGTAGCCAGAGGCCTAGAGTTTACACGAGAGTAGTGGAGTGTGAAGTCGGAAGAAAGGAGACTACACGTTGTATTTTGACACGTAAAGATTTAATAAAAAGTGTGTTCCCGTCAAGAAGTTCCTGCCGTCAATTCCCATACTTCATATGCATTACGGAATGGTAACGGATTTAAAATGTATGTTAAACGCGGCATGCTGCCGACAAACCCGGTGTTTGCCCGTGAATTTTGACAGTGTTTTTCACCGGCGTCCCCCACCGGCACGCACCGGCCAGCTCCATCAGCCCCGGTGGTGGGATGCCGGTGGCCCCGGGCGACTTCACCAGGCCACGGGTTTGTGCTCGTGGTCGTAGAATCCTCCATTCTCCTCCGGCGTGAGGGTGGCGAGGACGCGCAGCATCCCTGCGACGCTCTCCTGCGCCGTCAGCGGGGCCTGCGCGACAAACGTGGCACTCCTCGTCACCGGCTCCTCCCCGCCCGGCGCCCTTACACCCGGCCGGGAGCTGTCTGCCTGCTCGTTCGTCCGTCAGACTGTCTTTCAGCCTGTCCATCCGTCTGTCTGCCTGCCCAACTGTCTGCTCATCTGTCTGCAAGCCTGTCCATCCATCTGTGTTGCCTATCCATCCGTCCGTCTGTCCGTCCGTCTGCTCGTCTGTCTGCCCGACTGTCTGCTTGTGTCTGCCTGTCCACCCGTCTGTCTGCCTGCAAGCCTGTTCATTCATCCATCTGCCTGCCTGCATGACTGTCTGCTCGTCTGCCTGCCTGTGAATCCATCCATCTGTGTTGCCTGTCCATTCCATCCGTCCGTCCGTCTGTCTGATTGTCCATCTGCCACGTTGTGGATCGGATGACGCGCAGTGAATGTGAGTCAGCCCGCTGTAGAATTATTTGTTGGAGTGGCTTTGGCCGTGGCCGAGACCGACGATGGACAGCTCCGTATAGAACCCACGGGGTGCACGAGTCAGGATCAGGGCAGGATGGGCGCCTCTGCTCGTCTATATGGTTTTGGGAAAAATCCGAGGCTGACGCGGGGGCATGGGCCATGCATGAGTGGGGCTGGAGGTGTCCAAATACATACAACCAATGATTATTATTATCGTCACGGTGGAAAAATGTTCACTACCTCGCCTGGTATGCAGGTCGTCGGTCCGATCCCGACTCCGACGCCTGCTGTATGCTGTATACTGTATTTAGAGTTTACGTGTCCCTCTTTCCCTCCCCGTGGTCATGTGGATTTTTCTCCAGGTCCTCCGTTTATATTCCTCCACATTTAGAAGCAACATCACGCGTTTACAGTATTGGCTGCTATACATTTATTTTGGAAGATGTACGTTTGTCATCTGGCCACATGGACGACCGGCTCTGGAACAATTTTCTCAACCACATCAATTCCATACACCCAGCAATCAAATTCACCATGGTAGAAAAGGATGGCATGCCACCCTTTTTGGATGTCTTAATCAAAAGGAGACCAGATAGCTGGAAAGTAACCCACACTGACGCCTACCTAATATCTGATTCCCACCACCATCCATCCCAGAATTCCCTCATTAAAATGCTACACCATAGAGCTCAATGTATCTCTGACCATGAACACCTGACCAGTGAACTCAAACACGTACACCGGGCTCTCAGGGCGAATGGATACTCTGACTACACAACCCGCAAAGCCATCAACCCAACCGTGAGGAAGGAGCCATCTGAAGATCCAATCAAAACCATCACCTTACCTTACATAGCAGGGATAACCAAAAAGATTTCCAAAATATTGAACAAACACAAGATCCAGGTCCGATTTAATACAGTGCACACAATTCGTGACCTGATCCCATCTGTGAAGGACAAGATTCCTGACATGCAATATCGCAGCGTCTACAAACTAAGCTGTACCTGCGGCAGCAATTACATTGGGGAAACCAAACGACATGTCTCGGACCGTGTTCGTGAACACAAGGCAGATCTGAAACACGGCAGGACCAATACTTCTGCCTTAGCTGATCATTACTTTCTTTAATACGGCTGGCTCGCATGAAATTTATTTCTCTAAGACGATGGTACTTTGCAAGCCGACTGGATATCAACAAAGATTCGTTTACGAAGCCATCCATATATACAGACACAGACACAATTTCAACCGAGACGACGGTTTTAAACTCAGCAATCATTGTAAAGATATCATCAACCACTTTGGGTCATGACTTGAATTTGTGTTTCCTTGTCAACCTCTACCATCAGCAGTGTGGATAGGTGTAGCGAGGTGCAATTTCCCCCCCCCCTCCCATCTCTACCCCTCCCCCCCTATCTCTGCTCCACCCCCCTCTCTCCCCCTGTCTCTCCCCGTCTCTGCCCCATTCCTTCCCCCCCCTCATTTTCAGATGGGTGTACCGAGGTGCAATTCCTCCCTCCTCCAATCTCAACCCCTCTCTCCTCCCCCCTATCTCTGCCCCACCCCTTCTCTCTACCCGTCTCTTGCACAGCTCTTTCCCCCGCCCACTCACTCTGGAGCCCTTATAGGCAGCTACATTTGGAGGCTTGCCCCCTCTTTTCTCTCCACCTGAAGGAAGACCGCTTGTGTTGCGATTGAAACGTCGTGGATTTTTTGCTTTGAATTTTGATTTTTTTCTATCTACGTGACTTTACTGAAAGAACCAAGAATATATATCTCCTAGCCACCTTCGTGAGTTCACGAAGGCGCCGGCGCGGGGCTTCGAGGTTTGCGGCTGTCCGGAGCGAACTCCTGCGAGGGTCCCTACCTCTGGGCCGCCCATGTCCGTCTTGACCCAGCCTGGGTTCACGCTGACCACAAACACCCCCGAGGTCTGCAGGTCACGCAGCAGGCAGCGCGTCACCATGTTAAGAGCGGCCTGGGGAGGGGCAGGGAAGGGCGGGGGGTAGGGGGTGGTGGGGGAGGGGGCGGGGAGTGAGGAGGGGGACACAACTGCAGCACGGCTCTGGGCCACCACCTCTCTCTCCCAAGGGCCAGCTGAGTTTGAGTTTGCCGACGGGTAAACGGCGCTTGGCCAGGAGGGGTAGCACCTGGCCCATCTGTGTTGTTTGTCGTTGTCGTCGCCATCGTCGGGGTGGTATCCGACGTGACGCTGGCGAGTGGTTTTCATGTCGGGGTTGTCGAGAGAGAAACCCGGCTATGTGCACGCTGGAGGATGAGGAGCAGAGCAAGCGGTCGTCTTGCCTATTCGTAATTCGAGGACCGTTTCACTTTTTAAATCACCGTCTTAAAACTCACTGATTTGTACTTGCAGACTTTCCCTGTAACTTAAGAATAAAAAACGATTATGCTGTCTGATTGGATTACTCTGCAATTATTATTAGTCGCTTCTATCATAGTGTAATAAAGCTCGTTGAGGCGACTTCTGGAATCCGTCTTGTATTCAACTTGTATTACAGCTTTCCTTCACGCTGCTGACAGGCAGCGTGAGAGGGACAGATAGAGAGAGACACACTACCACGTGGCAACCTGGAGCGCCGCTCCCGCGTGGCCCCCTTCCTCTGTTCGTTCCCGTTCTGACCACGTGTCGTTCCTCTCCACCCCTATTTAATACCCGGGTCACGTGGTACGTTTCCGCCAATCCTCGTTAGCCTCCATGGAATATTCCAGGCCCCCTCGTAAGCTCCCGGGACCACGCCCCTGACTCCTCTCCCCATTGGCTGTGGCCAAAGCCAGCAGAACCAATCCTTACAGCTGTCACCTTTCCATTACGTCAGGGTCACGCCCCGAGGCTTCCCCCCATTGGCTATAAACCAGGACCGGCAGAGCCAATCATCATGACGAGTTGTGATACGTCAGTGAGCCGGATATATCCTCACATTACAATAGTACTGTGAATTTTTTGGAATTTATAGACTCGTCAATTAGATTGTTATTGTCAGCTTTATTTTACGCTCAGATTGTATATCTACTTGTGAGTAGTTTTATTTTCATGTCCAGCGCTTTGAGATACTTCAATATGACAGGCGATTTATGAACTAGAGGTTGTTATTCATTTAAAATATAGGTTACTATTATTTTATTTGGCAAACGTGAGCACCACTTACATTACGCGATGACAGTCGGCGTATTACATTCGAGTTGTGAGTTCCAGTTTAAAGTATATTCTGTGTAGCCAGGTGACAAATCAAGAGACCCGGGATAGGAGTCTCCTTTGCAACACAGAGACGTGGGTCACCAACAACAGAAAAAGCAGCGGCAACCAAAATACCCCGAGGGATCGGTCGAAAATCGCGCTGCGAATGCGAGTCAGCGTTAAATCGGAAATAAATATTGCATTCCCTGCAGCGTAAATCGACATTCGTCTCCAGATTAATTGCTAAGCGAAGCCATGGGAACATTCAACGGAGACATATCGGGGCGTGACAGTGGCGAGATGTTAACTGGTATGCAGGAGGTCGTGGGTTCGATCCTGACCCTGACGACTGCTGCATAATTGTTTGCATGTCTCTCTCCCTGTGGTCGCATGGATTTTTCTCCAGGTCCTCCGGTTTTTCCCTCCACACTTAGAAACAAAATCACGTGTTTAGAGTATTTTGGCTGCTAAGCATTTGCACGTGATCGTCAGCCACTTCGTTGAGCTACCAATTGTGGCCAGGTAGCTTCCGAAAAGGAGCTACACAGCAGCTGAGTGGGGCCTCACCTGGTACAAGACAAAACTTGTTTAGTAAATGGTTTAATAGGGTGACTGCAGGGCTGACAAGCAAACAAGGATTTGTGTAAAAGCTTGGGCAATGAAGGGCGTGGAGTGTGGGGCTCGATTGCCAGAACTGGATGGTCCGGGTGTCAGGAATCTCAGAAATGCAGTCCCTCGTGAGCAGTTTGGATCAGTGGGGATGGCAATACCTTCTGTCTGGGTTTGACACAGATTTGACCAGGGCAGTTGGGGAATCGGCATCTGTGTTCGGGTGGCGGCAGGAATTTGTGTACCGAGATGTGGTACCGGGCATTGTTGCCTTCTACCGCGTGACAGTAGACAGCGCAGACATCACTATGTAACACATGTTTTGCTCCTGGATAGTAAGTGTTATTTCGTAATTGCTTATGCCTAAAAAGTATAGAAAATGGTTATTATTCCCCACAAAACTTTGCTTTTGTGACTAGGACAGTGATATTTTGAAACTGACCTATTTTCAATGAGAAAACGGGTGAATTTGTATCTTTTCGTTCACATAAAATCAGTAAAAAACAACATATGAATCAAAATAAACATGTATTTATACTAAAATAATACAAAAATTACTACAAAAGATTTAGAAGTGCGTAGTTTTTCGAGATTTATGATTATACTGTAAATCACTTTCACAAATCAGCCCCCAAATGTAGTCTCCCATCATGTTCTCGTTATACTGTTCTTGGTAGCGGCGTTCAAAGTCCAGTATATCCTGGTGGAAGCGCTCGCTTTGCTCCTCCGAGTACACTAAAATGTTCTCCTTGAATTTATCAAGATGAGCATCAAGGATATGGACTTTGAGGGAAATCCTACAGCCCATTGTGCCGCAATTCTTCACCAGAGTCTCAACCAGCTTCACATAGTTTTAGACCTTGTGATTGTCCAGGAAGCCACGAACCACTGTGACAAAGCTGTTCCAAGCCTTACTAGTGAGCTTCTTGGGGAATTCATTGCACTCCAGGATCTTCTTTATCTGTGGTCCGACGAAGATACCGGCTTTGACCTTTGCCTCCGACAGCGTAGGGAAGAAGTCTTGAAGGTACTTGAAGGCTACCGACTCCTTATTTACAGCTCTGACAAATTGTTTAATAAGGCCCAATTTGATGTGCAGTGGTGGCATCAGCACCTTCCGGTGGTCCACCTGTGGCTCCCACTTGTCGTTGTTCCTCCACCCAGAGATCCCGTTCCGCTGTAGCCATTTCCGCCTGTGGTAGTGCGCCTTGGTGTCCCTGCTGTCCAAAAGCAAAGATAGCAGGGAAACTTGGTAAAACCACCTTGGAGACCCATTAGGAATGCCACCATTTTGAAGTCTCCGATGACCTCCCAGCCATACTCATCATACTTCAAGGCGTCCAGCAAGGTCTTGATGCTGTTGTAATTCTCTTTGAGGTGCACCGAGTGAGCCAGGAGAAGAGACGGGTACTTGTTACCATTATGGAGCAACACGGCTTTGAGGCTCCTGGATGAGCTGTCAATGAAGAGGCGCCACTCATTCTGCTTCCAGGCGATTCTGATTGCCTTGAACAGACTGGTCACATTGTGGCAAAAGCAGAGCCCATCTTGGTGGGTGAAGAAGCTGCAAAAATGTTGGTGACGCTTCCTCTGATCTTCGACTTGTACGCTTTTATCCAAAAGGTTACACTGCTTGAGCCTAGATGTCAAAAGCTTGGAATTGGACTTGGTGAGACCAAGATCTCTGATCAAGTCGTTGAGGTCTTTATGGTTGGGGTAGTATGGGTTTCTCTCCTCAGCTCCACTTCTGAAATTGTCATCTGGATCTACGTCTTCCTTGCTCTCCGACTTGCTGCTCTCTTCTAAAGACGACTGCTCTCTCTCCAGAGGAGTGGGTACGGGGGGCTTATGGCAGTGTGGCACTGGGGCAATGGATGAAGGAAGGTCAGGATACATGATAGCAGGTGCATTCTTGCCAGTCCGACGTTTGGAACTTCATGGCTCTTTTCCCCTCTGTACCATCCTACAAAAATACATTTATTTCACCCATGTGTAAGAGATTCTCGCAACATTTTCCATATATGATATATTTTTCAAAAACCTTGAAAAGTGTAAAACATTTAAAAATTAAAAACTTTAACAATTTGAAAAATTCTAACTAATTTTATAACATAAAATTCCAAGCAACAATTGTCCATCTTCCCTTCCAGAGTTTTTTTGCATTGCTCGCAGGTGAAATGAGGTGCCCAGGGTTTGTCTTGATCTCCGACAGGCATGCCGAAATATGCCTTGTAGGCCTCACACATCTGAGCAGATGCTTCCACAGAGTACTTTTTCGCTCTTGTCTTGATAAATTGGCCGCAGATATAGCAAAATGCATCTGCCGGATGCTTGCAGCCTCTTGATGCCATCTCACAAAAATGCAGATATGTATCCACTTAGGCAGCTGGAACTAAACTGAACTGGTGGGCTTAAGGCCCCTGTATTTATACTATTATTTATATTACTCGTAAGTTCTAGAATGTTCTAGAAGTTACTCCAAGTTTACTCAGCACTGAATCTATCTGAAATGTTCTTGAAAATAGGTAAATTTCAAAATGTCACTGTCCTGGTCACAAAAGCAATGTTGGTGGGGAATAATAGCCATTTTCTGTACTTTTGAGGCATAAGCAATTAGAAAATAACACTTACTACCCAGGAACAAAACAAAAATTGTTACACAGTGTAATTAGCAGTGTGAGGGAGTGGTGAGGGAGCGGTTCTCCTGAGGCGGCATTCCACAGGCGGATCAAACTCCGTGCTGGCGCTGCATTACGCAGCAAGCCCAACCTCGCAGCGTCGTGCCCCCGGCTACGGCGCTGCGACGGGGTGGGAGCCAGAGACAAGCGGAGGCGGTCGAGACGAGCAGAGTCGGCTTGGGCGTGTGAAGATGCTGTACGCATGAACGCGCTGCAAACACGCTGCACCCACGCTGCATGCACACATGCCCCTAACAAACACCCAGTGTAGGGTACACACCTGCGCGTGCACGTGAGCAGTGTTCACAGCACACGGCCGCATTGTGCGCATACAAAGATCCCCAGTTTAAACTCAATAGACTGTTGAGGAAAGCGCTGTTAGCGAGTATCACACGAAGCGGTGGGTGGCCGGCACCACACTCCGCCGCCTTTGTCTCCATTCCTGGCGATATTTACACACCGCACCAGGCACTCGTTTGAGTCGACCGAGGTAAGGCCTGGAACCGGTTCAAATAATCGTGAGAGGAGATCTAACTCAGCTGGACGGGTTCGTACCGTGGCGCACTAAGCGCTTACACCACCGCTCCCCAGGCTCGTGGGCGTTGTGCGGCGCACCTTGGCGGCCGGGTAGGAGTAGCCCCACTCGCCCGTGGGCGCCAACGCAGCCAAGTGCAGCGAGCCCAGCATGGACGAGATGTTGGCGACGATGGCGCGACCCCAGCCCAGCGGCTCGGCCTTGTTCCGCTCGGCGGCGATGCGCAGCTGTGGGAGCAGGGCCTGGTCGGGTGGGGGAGGGGTGGAGGTGGGTGAACGTGGGCCCCTGGCTGACAACGGCCGCGGCCGTGCGAAGCTGGGAAGCTGCCCGTGAGGAGCTCGGCCCTGTCCCCCTCCGGCGCGCAATGCCGGTGCACGGCACCCGGGCAGCAGCGTGGCTGGCTGTCGACAAACTACAAGGCGCACGTCTCGCGAACGCCGCTCCAGAATTCGCTACACCGCGCACAGCCATTCCGCGCAGAGGCGCTGGAAACCGCAGAGAAAAGCGTGGAAAAAGGCAGCCGGAACCGGCACCACCAACATTTAAAATAACAATGTCAGCTTGTAACGCGCGCAACGTTCGCCCACTAACGTGGAGCGAAATCGACTCGAAGAGAGGTGAAGAGGAAACAAGCCGCGAGCTGGAGCCAACAATTGCCCAAGCTCTGCAGTCCTCTCCATCGCACGGGAGGTGTTCTCGCGGCCGCACCTGTGTGATCATGAGCGGCGCCACCACGTTCACGTTGTAGTTGTGCATCATGTCCTCGGCCTTGACGCTTCCCAGCGGGGCCATCAGCGCCACGCCCGCATTGTTGATGAGCGCGTTCAACCCCTCCCCTGCCAAGGCCTTCTCCACGGCGAGCGCCAGAGCGGCCACACTCTCCTGCGAAGTCACCTCTCCAGGGGCAAAGGGGGTCACGGAGGCGAGGGCAAGAGGGGATGAGAAGGGACGCCTGTGCATCTGCACGACCGCCCACCTCCGTGTTTGTGCCGTAATTGTTCAGTGGCCACTCCGGCTCACATATACACTGTGACACACACACTGCGACACACACACTGTGACACATACACTGACACACACACACTGTGACACATACACTGACACACACACTGTGACACACTGTGACACACACACTGTGACACACTGTGATACACATACACTGTGACACACACACTGTGACACACACACACTGTGACACACACACTGTGACACACACACACTGTGACACACACACACACTGTGACACACTGTGACACACTGTGACACACACACTGTGACACACTGTGACACACACACAAACTGTGACACACACAAACTGTGACACACACAGACTGACACACTGTGACGCACACACACACAGACTGTGACACACACAGACCGGTTTTAACATTCGGTGTCTCGTCAACGATCGGGCTTGCTGGAACCGATGCTGGTGAATCGCCAGATGTGTGTAGGCAAGGACTCTCTCGGTTAGACATGGATCCCATAGCTCAATGCCAACTCTGTAACGCACAACGAGCACCAAGCAGTCGCTCATGTCGTCGTGGGCCGCGTGAATCACACAGCAGGCTGCGGCGGTGCACGGCGAGTCCTGAGCAGAGGCTGCAGGGGCCGGAGGGAAGAGGGAGACGCAGTGACGTAGAGACACAGACGCAGAGACAGACGCAGAGACAAAGATACACAGAGACAGATATTGAGAGAGTCAGGACACGTAACGGAAGATGGACTGCCACTTGGCTATTGGATTATCCAGAAGAAAAAAAATCCACTGCAGGGAAACTCCTCTCATCTGCGACCCTATGAAACGACTCCCAATATCCACGTGCAGCTGCAGGGTCCAACTATCCGCAATTTTACCCCTAACGTGTTGTGCTCGCGATAATGGAGGGGGGGGGGGGGTTGGCGCGGAAAATCCATCCCACCACCCGCGCTGTTATCTGCGATTTTGTACCCCGCGGATAACAGAATCCGCTACCTCCCTCCTCCTACACCACTGGGATAAGAGCCCCCCCTCCTCCTGCCCCCTCCCTTCTCTGGATGCGATTGCTATTTTGGCTTCCGAATGCACAGCGCTCTCCGTTTGTGGCGAGCTTACGATCGGGAGCGGAACGAACGAGACAGAAGCACGGCCGATGCAGCGGCACAAAAGGGTTCACTCGCAGCGCTCGGGGAATCGCCACGCGGGGGTCTCGCGGACAGAGCCACCCGGGCGGGGAGAGGGTCAGAGGGGGGCCCACGGAGATTCCCAGAGGTAATGGGGAGTAGAAAGACGCGGGCCGCGCCTTGCACTGAATCTCGACAGGGCTCGCGGAGCCTCGCTGAATCTCGCCGAGGCTCTTAGAACCTAAAAGAGCCTCTTTGAACCTCGCCGGGGTTTCTTTGGGCCACATTCCTGTGCCGTGTCTGGGCAGCCTCGCGACTGCGAGCGCGGCGCGATGGCGCGACTGATATCGCAGCCTCACGACATCCAAGGGCACGAGCGAGAGACAGGGAGGGAGACGTTTCTCGCGCTCGCTGGTATGGACATCTGTGAAAGAAGACGTTGGCAGGAGCCATCCTCAGCACGAGTCTTGAGCCTCAGCTGCGAGGCTCTTCCCGGTTGTCACCACGTGCAACGGTGGTGACAACGCATCTCAGGCTCAGGGGTGACTGTGGCAGGCGAAAAGGCTCCAGACGCTCTCCCCGCCCCGACCAATCCCACTCCCTCCGCCCCTACTGGACGTCTGCAAAAAAATAGCTTCATCGCTCATCAGAGTGGTGGCCAAACACGCCGGACGTGACCGCTTCTCTCGAGTCTCAGGGCTTGACTTCAATAGGGTCCTGGCCCAAGGGTTACGCAGTAATGGCCAATGCCGCCGCTGCTACTGCTGGTAATTTTTGTTTTAGCATTGGGATGTTTGGCCAATTGAAGTTGCAATGTGCGTTATCTTTATCTGTGGGGGGAGGGGGAAACAAACCGGGGAACGCAGAGGAAACCCACGCAGAACGGGGGCGGGAACACACGCGAACTCCACACGGAAAGTCGCCCACGTTGAACATCCAACTCAGGAGTTGAGAGACAAGAACGTTACCCCTCCATGGTGGAGGATACACAGAGTGAGAGGGGACACCGGGGAGACACGCTGAGGAGTGAGAGGGACACCAAGAAGTCACGCAGACACTGCAGCGTGAGAAACAACACCGAGGAGACACCGATGAGTTGCGGCGTCTCGCCTCACCGAGCTGCAGCACCGTGAGCTGGGGGTGAGCGCTCGCCAGCTCCTGCAGCGCCTGGGACACGGAGAGCGAGAGAGAGAGCAGGGCCCGTCCAGTGGCAGGGAGTACACCACCAACACGCAACCAGGCAACCAGGCAACCACGCAACCACGCAACCAGGCAACCACGCAACTAGGCAACCACCAAACCAGGCAACCATGCAACCAGGCAACCACGCAACCAGGCAACCACGCAACCAGGCAACCAGGCAACCACGCAACCAGGCAACCAGGCAACCACACCACGCAACCAGGCAACCACGCAACCAGGCAACCACGCAACCATAAAACCAGGCAACCACGCAACCAGGCAACCACACAACCAGGCAACCATGCAACAAGGCAACCACGCAACCAGGCAACTACGCAACCAGGCAACCACACAACCAGGCAACCACGCAACCAGGCCACCACACAACCAGGCCACCACGCAACCAGGCAACCACGCAACCAGGCAACCACGCAACCAGGCAACCACGCAACCAGGAAACCAGGCAACCACACAACCAGACAATCACGCAACCAGGCCACCACGCAACCAGGCAACCACGCAACCAGGCAACCACGCAACCAGGAAACCAGGCCACCACGCAACCAGGCAATCACGCAACCAGGCAACCACGCAACCAGGCAACCACGCAACAAGGCAACTACGCAACCAGGCAATCACGCAACCAGGCAACCACGCAACCAGGCAACCAGGCAACCACGCAACCAGGCAACCACACAACCAATCACGCAACCAGGTAACCACGCAACCACACAACCACGCAACCACACAACCACGCAACCAGGCAACCACGCAACCAGGCAATGACGCCACGCAACCAGGCAACCACAAAACCACGCAACCTGGCAACTACATAACCAGGCAACTACATAACCAGGTAACCACGCAACCACACAACCACGCAACCAGGCAACCACGCAACCACACAACCACGCAACCACACAACCACACAACCAGGCAACCACGCAACCACACAACCACGCAAACAGGCAACCACACACCCATGCATTTACGCGACCACACTACACATCAGTTAAACAAAGACGGTCACATCGTGCGCTTTCAGATGGACATCTGCGACCGTCTGGAACGCTCTTACTTCGGATATTAGGAAGTCACTGGGGCTATGCACTTTTAAATCATCCTCTAGATGAAAAACTCTTTAGAAAACTTTTTTGTGTTTAGTTTGTTGTCCTTCCCCCGCATTTCTGATTAGCACGATTGGCTACGCATGGTGCGAAAGAAGTTCAACAAACACACGTACAAACAACCACACAACCGTATCACCAGACAACCACTCACCCAGGCAACCACACAACCACGTGGCCACCACCACCACCTCCTCCACCACTACCTTCTCTGTCATCACCACCTCCACAACCGCCGTATCAACCTCAACCGCCTCCACCTCCGCTACCACCGCCATCAACCATAATCTATGCCACCATCACTACCATCGCCATTATCATAACAATCATCACCACCACCGTCACAATCACTACAATCACAATTGCCACGCTCCTCACGGGGGGGAGGGGGGGGCTCGGCCTGCAGCATGGACACCGTGTAGGAGAAACGTCTTGAGATCGCGGGGAGCAGTGCATCTTGATTGGTTAAGAATCACCGCCACGATCACTGTTGGGGCAAGTGCTGTTAGCGAGCACCTATGAAGGCCGGCACGGCACACAAAGGGGTGGGGTGGTCAGCACCACGCCCGGGCGCCTTTGTCTCCCCAGTGGCGATGGTGACACCACACCAGGTACTCATTTGAGGCTGAGTCGACCTAGGAGAGGTCCAGGACCAGTTCGGATAATTGTTACTGGTGCTTGCCATGAGCGGGAATCGAACCAGGGTCACCAGGTTCGTAGCGCTAACCGCTACACCACCGCTCCTCACAAAGATCCCCCTACAGCCTTCACAGACTGTTGGGGCAAGTTCTGAGCCAGAACGGGTATCGTAGCGCAGCGCGCTAAGCACCACCCGCTCCCCCTACGATCACCACCGTCATCACCACCACCACCACCACCAGTCACCACCGTCACCTGCGCGCCGGCCCCGTCGGGGTCCCTGCAGGTGGCGAGCACGCGGGGGCCGGGGTCCGCAGCGCCCTGCGGCAGCGGCAGCAGCTGGCGCACGAGCTCCAGCCCCAGACCCCGGTTCGCTCCCGTCACCAGCACGGAGCGCGGCGTCGCCATGGGGTCGCGAGACGAGAGAGAGGTTCGGGGTTGAGAGGAGCGAGGTGAGAGAGGGGACGTGATAGTGTGTGAGAGTGTGAGGTGGGAGAGGCAGTGAGCGAATAGAACAGAGAGAGAGGAGGTGGGGGAGGCGACGATAAAAGAGCGAGGGGAGTTTGCCGGGAGGAGGTGGAGGCGCTCCTCTCGCAAAGCCGCCGCCACCGCCTCTTGAAGTGCAACGCCTCCCGCCCTCCCCCAGCCTACCCATTGTTGCAGCAAACAGCAGTCGCTGCTGCTGACGGACTGCAAGCACGCGACTTGGTTCCGCGCAACATGCGTCTCTTGCGGTCTTGGAGCATTCTAGCAACACGGTTCTGTTTCGACACATTCAACTGTCACACTCCACACATCCAACCGTCACTCAATTGCTGCACTCAACTGCGTGCTCAATGGGGATGGCCGGCACGGGGGGGGTGTGCTGTTGCGTTCACACAGCCACACGGAGCCAGGCGAGAGTTGCAATCGGGCTGCTGCACGGGGTTGAGGGCCTCCAAATCGTCCCGCTCAAGAGGCACGGATCCCGGGCCTCGCGTCCCACCCAGCGAGCTCCTTGCAGCGTTGCGCTCGTGTTCAACGACCCGTGGCTGACGGGATGTGATCGTTTGGAATCGATTACCAATCGCCGACTCGGGGGGCGGTGGGAGCACGTGACCGCTCCCCTCCTTTCACCCGAGAACACACCCAGGTCGAAGGTTTGCACGAGTCCGGCTGATAAAGTCGCCCCAGTTACAGACTCGTTCGCTGGGGCGGCGCTACGGTGGCGATATGTTATCTGCCTTGCCTGGTATGCAGGAGGGCGTGGGTTCGATCCCACCCATGCGATACCTGGATATTTGTAGTGAGCGTGTCTTTCTCTCTCCTCGGGGCGCGGATTTTTCTTTGGGTCCTCCGGTTTTTCCTTCACATTTAGAAACATGCGTTTAGAGTATTTGGCTGCTATACATTTCCACATCAGCCACTTGTTTGAGCTATCACTTGTGGCCAGGTCGCTTTTGGAAAAAGAGCTACATCGCTCAGTGGGATTTACTTTGTAAAATAAAATAAAAATGTGTTTAGCTGTCAGGTGGGTGGGGTGTTCTGGGGTATTTTACCAACAATAACATTACGTGCAATGGTTTGATCTGAACCTTAATTAGATTGGTCTTTGTCATTCTTGTGAGCCAGGTCACCCTTGCAAAAGAGACTCCGCACATCCTGGCCTCTTGAGTACTCACCTGGGTGGTTCAATAAAATCAACTTGAAAATAGTTATGGGAGGTAACCGAAGAATCTGGAAGAAACCCATGCAGAACAGAGGGGGGGGGGGGGGGGGGGACATACATGCTTCACGCATAAAGGCGCCCGAGGAGTCGAACCCAGATACGTTTTGCTCCGAAGCACACAACGTGTTACCACTGCGCCACCCTGTCGCTGCAGTGCGGCCGAAACCTCGTAAAAGCAAAGGGAGGCCGGGTTGATGCTTGACCTGGAATCTCTGGCAGGCCCAGCAAAGGTCACGAACCAGTCGGGGTCAACACGCTGTTCCATCCGCTGTGGTGACCATAAAAATATAAACTTGTATGTTTTTACCAGGTAAGGCCAACTGAGCTATAAAGCTCTATTTGAGAAGCGACCTGGCTATCACAAATTATATCTTGACGAAGTGGCTTGTGTAGATTTATAGGAGTAGCCAAACACACTAAACACGTGATGTTGATTCTAAATGTGGAGGGGAAAAACCGGATGGGGAGAACATGCAAACACCAAATATAGAACAGGCGTAAGGGTCGGGATCGAACCCACGATCGCCTATAAACCAGGCGAGGTAGTGAACATCTCGCCATCGTGACCAGCAAGCCGGCACCGATCAGAGCCATCTACGGGATCTCCACGCTGGACATCGCCACCGGAGCGAGGTCCCTGGCACCACCGGTGAGCGCACAAACGACGCAAGCAGCTGAAAGGGGTCCGCCGCTTTATTGTTCCACGATGAGGTGGATGAGGAATGTCGGACACGCGTCCCGCGTGCGCAGCTCGGATTCTTCACATTTCCCTTTAGGCGCTGGACGCAGCGCCACCACCGCCGCCCCCCTGCACCCCACCCATGTTCCACCCCGCGGCACCACCCCGCGGCAGACTGGAGGAGAGTCGCAGGGACTGACCACGCGAAGCTCTCGAGGCGACACGGAGCTTCTCGCCAGAGACGGGTGTTGGCCGGATTAACCTAATTCACAGACAGCTACAGAGCGAGCAACAATTCAGCGTCATTGTGGACAATATCACGTAAACAATCAGACGAGTTGCCTCCCTAAAACACAGCAGTCCGTCTGTGAAGGAGGCGGGAAGCCAGTGGAGACGGGACGTCGTTTGGACTCACAGCTGTGACGACACTTTTAGTTTTTAACCTCTGATGTAAAATAAACAAAATTTATCTCATACGACTCGGGGCGCGGAGCAAATTGTAACCAACCACGGGCTTATGGAATGGCCAAGTGGTCGGGGTCGGCGTGCAGGACATTTAATCAGACCCCGGCTACGAATCGTCGTGTAGCCATCCACGTTCACGACGGGTTCGTCACCAGAGATCCGTCTCATCCCGAGGCTGTCGCTGCTGTAAACGCGTTCGCTACCACCGCTTTATAAAACGTGCCGATCAACAACAGCGACGAACCGCAGTCAACACAAACACACGAGCAGAGAGATGCGCGTGGCTCTGCTTGAAGAGAATGGATTTTTAGTCAATCAACCGGTGGGGGTTTTACAGAGCACACAGAAAGAACATGGTTATACAAAGCACCACGAGTGTGTGTACAATGTCCCTTGTTCCTTTCGCGTTGATCAGGGAGGGTCCTATTGCTTAGGCGGCGTGCGTTCGCTAATGACGTCCAGTAACCCAGCAGCATTTGTGAGAAACGCGGGCGTGCTGAGTCCCCCCCTCCCCCAAAAGAGTTGGATATTCCACCAGGTTGTTTTGCTTAAACAAATAATATCAGTCTGGAAATCCGCTGGGCTAAGATGTGCGACGGATATGCGGAGGACCAGAATGCAGCTGCGCCGGTGTGTGCGCCGAAACCCTCGACGCTTCGCGTAAATACGCAATGAGCTTGTGACTGCGATCGGTACCTCGGCGGGCGAAGTGATAACCTTGGTGGGAAAATGTCGACAGCTTGGCGAGCTTCCGGCAGTGCGACCGAAAACGGACTCGGTGGGCGATGTTTTGTGAAAGACGTTTGGCGGCTTCGCGGATTGCCAGCGCAGCGTACGTCGGGTTTCGCCACGTCACCCCCAATAAAACGGGTCCCGTGTTTGAAGACGAAGACTCCCGTGACGATGGATATCGAGAGTTTGGCAGTCAACACAACCCGCCACTGCAAATGACCGATGTCGCATGCGGCGGTGTGTCACAAACCCAACGCACTTCGAGTCGTGGCGGCGTTTATTAGAATGGTTTCATTCGAGAGAAGCAACGCCGGGGAGGTTCGTTTACAAACCACAGAGGGACCCCCTCACGTCAGGACGGAGCGGGCTCCTTGCTTGTAGATGTCGGGCAGTTCGCCAGCGTTGGTTCGAGAGCAAGCATGACTACTTATGAACTATTGTTTATTTTGCAAGGTAAGGCCCACTGAGCTATGAAGCTCTAGCATTAGCGAACTTGCCACCCATGATTGCTCAACGAAGTGGCTTACCACGTGGACATTTATATCAGCCAAAAAACGCACGTCGATTCGGAGAAAACGCCACACGACCATGGGGAGAACATGCAAACTCAAAATATACAACAGGCGTTAGGGTCGGGATCGAAACGACCCTCCTGTATACCAGGCGAGGTAGTTAACATCTCATAGCCACAGTGGCGCCCCTGATGAGTGTCCACACCGGTCCGGAGTTTTGCTTGTGTGAAGCCTCTGCTACTGAAGTTGTGCACTCCCAGAAGGCCGTGTGGCTGATGGGATGCGTGCAAAAAAAAGAAACAATAAGATTACGCGTGCTTTCACGTGGAGGGACACATCTGTGAAGGAGGCGAATGGTTCTGCTGGTTTATTTTGTTACAGAGAATCTGGCGTCTGGCAGCTCCTCAAAGCCCCCCACCTCCTCTCCCCATGCCAGCTCACGACCCCACCCACACACTCGGAAACATTCAGCAAAGACAAATGACATACGAATTTAGGCCACAAAGTAGATCTAGACTAGACGAATACCAACACAGAAACACATTCGCCTACTCTACGCGAAGTGAAATCCAGAGCCCGACTCAAGTAGATGACGCTGCAGCAGCAGCAGGAGCAGCGGCGCCGCCTCTGGACTTCTTTAAGGCGATTGAGATAACTTCGGGCCACCTCGCTCCTGGGGGTAGCGGACACTGGCGAAACGTTGCATAGCAAAAACTCCTCAGGGGACTGACTTGAGCAGACTCGAGGGCGCCGGGTGACCCTGAAAACTCCCCACACGCTCGTCTCGGGCACGTGGCCCACGTGTCTACAGAGCCAGCGGGGCCCAGCACGCGTCGCGGGGTTACCGTTCGCCCGGTAGCGCCAGAATCAGAATCTTTAGACCGAGGAGGAATGTGATGAGCGATGAAACTCTTTTTCACAGACTCCAGTAGGGGCGGAGAGAGTGGGATGGGGAGGGCGCACGGGTTCGGGATGGGGAGGGCGCACGGGTTCGGAACGGGGCCGTTGACGGGAAGGGCGTCTGGAGCCTCCTCGGCTGCCACAGTCACCGCCGAGCCTGAGACGCGCTGTCACCACCATTGTCACCCCACCACCGTCGAGCGCGAGTTTACCCGGGAAAAGCCTCGCAGCCGAGACTCAAGGCTCGTGCTGGGGATGGCTCCAGCCCGTTTCTTCACGGGATCGGGGGAGGGGGGGCGATCGGGGAGGACATGGGGGGGGGGGGGGCGATCAGGAGAGGGGGGGCGATCGGGGGAGGGGGGCGATCGGGGGGTCGCCAACTTCAAGGCCTTATTTTGCCTCCTTGCAGGCGGTTGCCAAATTCCAGCCCCGTATCGAAACGGCACAACACTGCAAGAGTGCGCACGGCAATAACGGGAAGCATTGTTCGATCCTCTGCTAATCTGCTGACATGTAACATGTCTACATCGCCTGGCCTGCACGTAACATTGAAAAGCACAATTTAAACGGGAGGGACTATTTGCTACGCATAACAATACTGTCGGGGTGTATTTTTTGAAGTGAAATTGACCAGACACACGCCGATACGCATAGATGTACACCCACACACGTACACTGACAAATGAATGTACGTGCGGACACATAACAGTTGTTATTCGCCACTAAGCAACAGCCACGTCCCCACGGTACTTGTGCCAGGCTAGGTGCACCTTGGGGATACGCGAAGCAGCGAAGGCTCGCTAGCAGGTCACGCATACCTGTCAACCTCTTATCAGCGTCTACCTTATTACACAATTCAGACCTTATTGGCCACCCCGTGCCCTTATAAATCTCAACGTTCATCCTATAAAGTTCCATCACAAGGGAGAAACACAAGAGACAAAAAATGTTGCCCGTATCGAAACGGCTGTACGCCGTATGGACCTGGAAACTCAATTTCCCCGTACAAGAATACGGGTAACCCGTAATGGTTGACAGCTGTGGGTCACGGGGCCGACCCAGGTGCCTTGGGCTGCGCCAAATTATCACTCTAATCCGTCCGGCGTTCCGCTCGTTGTTGTGAGCGTCACTCATCCGCCCTCCGCTGTTGCTGGAGGGCGACTTCCTACAACCGGCCAGGAGCGTCCTTCACGAGCCTCCTCCAGAGGCCGATATTGATACCGCTACCGCTGGTACCAGTCATCGACAAGTTTACTCAGCTCCATATCCTTCTGTACCACATCAGTGCATCTCTTTTTACAAACCGTGCCGCGCCCGTTTAGACTCCTCTATTCGGCCAAACAAGTTGTTTGGGCATGCAAGCCACACGACCCAGCTGGTGCAGCCTCGCCTGCCGGAGGTGCTCACCGATGGGACTGTGTCCAGATTTTTCAAGAATTTGTGAGCTCCTCACACAATCCAGTCGAGTTAACCCTGGGATAATATCGCAGGCAGGCCAGCCCAAATGTTTCAAACCGGTGCAGATTTTCTATAAAGCGGTCCAAGTTTCACAAGCATAGAGAAGGGGGGGTGTGGGACATGACTATGGCTAAAAAGAACCGAAGCTTTCGTGTGGGGCGACAGGCAAGGTAGCTTCCTCACAGCATTATGCAGCTAAAGAAAATATGCCGCTCGACTGATTCGAAACGAGACGTCCGCTGCCAATCTGGAGCTGCTCCTAAGCACACTACCCAGGTACGGAAACTTCTCCGTTCTCTCCACAACTCCCCCAGACAGATATACTCAGATAGACACATAGATACACACATGCAAAATGGCATACATACACATACAAAGCACTAACCCCCCCCCCCCCCCCCCCCTTATAGCCTTGAACAGACTGTTGGGGCAAGTGCTGTTATATTTAAAAAAAAACATGTTTAATACTGACCAATACAGAGGTTTTAAACTTGCAAAATACAAAAATTAATCACATAGCGCGACAATTTGATCCCTCATCTAACTCGTTTTTAACAATGCGTGCAACCCAAATAGGGAGAGCATTTTTGTTGGATACCTCTGACGCAAAACACACACACTCAGCAACAAATGTGTGCACCCAACTCGTTTAAACCGGGGCATTTCCGAGCCCTGTTTGGGAATTTGGCAACCGCCGACAAGGAGGAGAGGGCCTTGCCATCTGTGGCCTCAAGTACCCCACCCCGACCCGTCTCGCTGGCCACGTGTTCACAATCCGCGAGCTGGTAAATTAAGTGGGGGCATTCGCGGGTGTTTAAAATGTCACCTTCACTACAAATAGCCCCACCGTCACCTGTGCAGCACGCAGCTGAGCGAGCGCTCGCTCGTTTTAATTTAATAAAAAAAATTTCGACCCCTGTTTGCAAAGATAACCTCGGCGGTCAGTGGCGATGCACACAGCGAATGCTCAACATACACGACCGCGTCTCTGGCGAGCAAGCGGGAGGTTAGGAGAAGCGGTGCACATGCCGCCCCGGAGCTACTGGCGACAGTTGTTGTTGACGCACCGCAGCCCACCAGTTGTCGTCCCGCTCGTCACACGGCTTCGTTGAGTGGGCAGGGAGCGCTCCTGGGAACATCGCCGCCTCGTCGTCGCTCAGCCGTAGCCAAACATCGCGAGGGCGCGCGGATACGAGAATCGCAGCCCAACGAAACTCTATCCCTGCGTCGGTCTGAGACTACTTTAGTTCTTCAACGTTGATCGAGTTGCGATCGGATTCAAGTCAAACTCCCACGACAAGGGATGTGCGTCACCTTTGATCACCTTCCAGGTGAGAACACCGCCCGCCCTGCTTGCAGCGCGGGACTCCAAGATCCGATTGATGCAACAGAACTTCGGACGCAAACACGAGAAGGGCCCCTCTTCTCGACGGCGCGACGCGGACCAAGCGCCGTTTCTGCTTTCGCGAAAAACGGGGGGACGCGACGCGCCGTGTGAAACATCACGAGCGAAAACGCATCTTGACCGCACACGCGCGCGGATTACAAACGCCTCCTCGTCTTTAAGCGGCGGCGTAAGCCAGAAGGCGGCGCCCCGCAGCCCCGCGCACCAATCCACACCACCACCGACGGCGCGGCCTCCGTGCTGCGTCCACGCCGCGCGCCTCCTGCTGCTGCGTTTAGCGACCAAGGCCCCCCCCAACCAACGGTCCACGCGAACAGGCGGAGTAGGCAGCGAGGCCCCACCGTTCCACAACGGCCTTGTGAGATGAAATGTTGAGATGTATCCGCGTACTTCCCCAACCCGACCAACCACCCACGGGGGATCCCTGCCTGCAGGACACGCGGTCACCAGCCAACGCAGTGGCGGCGCTGTAAACAGCGGAGAGCTGCTGTTGCCGATTCTGCACGGGCAGTCCAACGCTCGCAACGAGAAAATGTATTTGATAAAATACCGATTTCTGTCCATGCAAGTTTTTGATTTCACTTGTTTTAACTTTATTGCTTGTCATCTTTTGCAACCCCCACCCCAGCCGGTCACCTCCTGCAATGAGACTCCCCCCGCTGGTCTCTCCTCACCTGGATCCAGCTCAACGAGTGTGAAGCGCCGACTGAGCCGAGGCCATGAGCCTCACTGCACACTACCGCGTTACATCTCCAAGCGTCGGTTCATCAGCGGAGCAGGCAGCGATTCTCCACTGCCGCCTCCATTGCCCATGCCTTGGTTTCTCGAGTCTTGTAGGAATCGTGGACTTTCCCCACTTTCCGCCAGGGACCTCTGCGCGAAAAGATGAGTCTCCCTTGGTCCACGAAGTAGGGCGAACGACGCCCTTTCACCCCGGGCACCGCGCGGGCACTCCACCGCAGCCCGCACAAACCCTCCCCCTCACCTGCTCGATGCCAATCTCCGCTGTCATTGCTTTTTGGATTCACCAACGTCCCCCTCCCCCCGTTCATTTTGCCGGTCTCGTGCTATGAGCGACACGGCCGGGAAGCGGCGGCTACACACGTGGCCTGTGTGATCCAGCACTGCGGAGGTAGCGATGGTTTGGCGGATCACCGTGCGCGCGTGTTCATACTTCCCTTCACGTGAATGTCCCAGACGGAAATGTGTGGACTATCTTCCCTTTTGCAGAGGGTGGGCGCTTACCTCACGCATACAGGCTTTCTTCCCAATAAACACACGCGCGTTAATAAAGGGAAACATTTCGATACATAAAGGACCGCAGAGTTCGGGGAAATTTTTTTTTGGTAGCACCGGCTGCTCACCACCTGGCTGACTCCTTGCTTGCCCCGTGTGGTTCGTTGGTCAATTGCGAGATGCAATTTGCGTGGACGACGAGAGATACGGAAAAAACGAAACATTCTTGTTATTATTCTATTCATGTCAGTGAAGGGCCGCTGGGCAGCTGATTCCCGGGGGGGGGGGGGGGGGGGGGGTTACCATTAACCTCGCGCGGCTTCTCAGGGGCGCTGGCAGCAAACGTGTTCACTCGAAACTTGCCGTCACTTTAGACTCGCGCCGTTTGGTGTTTTATAGTTCATTTTGATGATAGGAGGGGGCGATTTAGACACGGGGGGGGGGGCTGCCCAACGTTTGTATTCGAGGTGTCTCTCTCTCTCTCTCTCTGGAGTTTATGGGCGACGATCTTCCCCACCTAAAGCCTAAAGTCAACTGGAACTAAAATCTGGAAACAGTGAAATAACTCGCCACAACAGAGACGTGACCGTCAGCCAGGAAGCAGATTTCACTTTGCACACAAGGATGTGCAGCATTGTATGCGGAAGAGTCCTCAGTCTTATGCAGGCCACCGGGCTCAAAAGGAACTGCACAAGTGTTAACATTGTAAATGTCGACATGGGCCCCACTGGCTTCCAAGACGCACACGGCAGCAACGAACATCAATCAATCCAAGAAGTTTAGGCGACACAATCGATCTTGTCAACAACGCGCGTTTACTTGGGTCGGCCAATGAAGATGACAGAGCCAATACCCTCGGTGCCGAGGTTCGTCTTTAAATGTCGTACGACTGCGGTTAACGTCACAAAGTTAGGAGTTTAAGATCTGCAGTAGAAATCAGGGCTGGCGACATTGTGGTGAATGCACCCGAATTGTAAACCGCCGTGTGAATCTAAATCCTGGACAAGTTTTGACCTGGGCCCATCGTCCACCCGTGATTGAAAGATGAGTAACAGTTTGTGGAAAGTGTCCAATGGGCATCTGCTCGTAAAAAAAAAGGCCCATGAATGTGAAGGTGGAGTTTTCAATCACTGGCTTATGATTGCAAATGGTTCCGCCCCATCGCGTGCAAGTGAGCCGACATAACCTCCAACTCCGCGTCGTTTGATGGATCGGTCGTGTTCTCAGAATGGACTAGGGGACCGTACACCAAAAAATTGCCCTGAGATGGATACCGCTGGGCAAAAGGAAACCTGGGAGACCCGAGACCACCAGGCGCATGACCATGATGGACGAGTTGCCAGCGATCAACCTCTCTTGGGGCGAGGCTCAACGTGTTGCCAAGGACGGGAAGAAGTGGAGGGAAGTTATTGCGGCCTCATGTCCCATTGAGGATGAAGAGGATTCACTGACTGTGTCGTTTGACTTTGTTTCAAGAGGTACAAAGTTTGGGGCGAGGTCCAGTGTTGAACTTTTGGTCACGATTATTACCCTACAGGAGTCTATGACATCAGGCCACTTGTAGGGATGAAAGGTCCGAGTTTGGGGTTATTTACTTATGATATGGTTTTGGGTTAGGGTCACAAAGTCTGTTTTGGGAGCCTATCATGAATAAGAACCACCAAAGTACATATTTCTACGGAACAACTTGCCAGCACAAAACCGAAAGGAGCTGCGTTTAACGCATTGGTTACAGTTGAGACATCTCAGCTGTGGTGGTGGTAGGGGGAAGCAGCAGCAGCACGGGAATACCACCTTCACCGTGTCCTCTCCAGGTCCGAGGAACCACGGGCGTTGGCATCTACCACTCGCCAAACTCTCCGAGGCCCATCAAAGCGTTTCAACCGTCTCGGGCCAAAGTCGACCCAAAAGCTTCGAGCCCAACTTGTCACTGTGGCGGCTGCGTGGGGTCTCATGGCCGTGTTCCCCTTCTCCCCCCCCCCATCTCCCTCTCGCTCTCTTTCCCTCTTCCAAACCCACACCGTAATCCTCCACCCTCTCTCTCCTGAGCTGAAGCGTTGGCTTCGTGAATTCTTCCCATCAGTTCTGAGGTTCTACCTCCAACGTTCGTAGCGCTAATGGCGAAAGTTGGCGTTGGAGCGACGACCATCCCAAAAGCCTGTTGCCACATCAGTTCCCACAGTGAGGTTGGGCTAACACTGGCCCAACGCAGCGTGTACACTTTCAAGGAACCATCTCGGGGATGTGTCCTTCCGTGCCACTTCTCACAGCAAAGCCAGGTTGACTCCTTCATAGGGATAGAGCCACCCGCGCCCCCCTCCACCACCACCACCACCCCACATGAATGCGATTCTCAGGCGTACGCGCTGTACTCTGCTTGGGAAGTCGGTATTCTAAGGGCGCCTCTGAGTCCCCATCACAGAGATCGTGGCCTCGGTGGCACTGGGTGGCATTTGTTTCCGCAGCAGGAAGCCGTTATATTAAACCTCACACAACCATGATTGTATCCAATCCGGCCAGGGCACACTCTCAAGTGCGCCCCACCACGCAAAGTTGTCAGCACAAATGCCCCAGGGACGGATCAGCTCGGTGCATTGCCCATGCGGGTCCCTACCCGACGGCTCATGCATAGCGGCTATTCCACCAACAAAGCGTCCACCACTGCCAACGGGGGAAGGGTGAGCACCACTCTACACTCGCACGAGCTGCATGACACTTTCAGACGTCCAATTACATCGCAATTGGATCGTCAGCCTCGAGACAATGACACTTCGGCCCACGCGTCTTATGGATACTCAGATGTTGCATCCGAATCCCGTCTCGGCATCCTTCAAGAATGATCTTACACAGCCACTAGACTGCTCCCTCCAGCTGTGCAGAAGAGTTGTTCGTTGCATCCGTGCCAAATAAAAATAACCTTCCGGTTACAGGCCATTAAAAATTACAAAACCATTCCTCTCGGATTCCCATGTAGTCACTGGGGACTAGGCTGAGAGCAGCAGACTGCACACACGAGGGCCTAGATTGACCTCAAGCGCGGGCCCAGAATTTAAAGCCTGACCCACAAGCTTTCTCCCAATCCTGAGTCTTTGAAATGAACATTTTTTGTGACAAAGTTCTAAGTTAAAAGTTTAAAAAAACTGATCCCTTGACAAAGGTCAGGGGCTGTGCTTCTTGTCTACACGTTCGCAATGCCAGACTAAAAATGGATCAGAAACTTTCAGGTCACGCCATCCGTGAAAACCTGATATGTGCATTTGGCCGACTTATTAACAATGAGGTTTTGTGCCTTCAGCAGAGACTTGTCGATACATAAGAGGGTTTTTTTGGGTTACATTGCGGAAATATATAAATGTGCCGTTAAACCCGCCACCACCCGACACAGCCAATTCATAAGGTTCGTCATGTACAATAAAACGTGCCAATTAGTTACTAGCTCAGCACACCGGTGTGATGGAGAATAAACCCTCAGGTGGCTGCCGCCTGATGAGGCTGGTTATAATTACCGGCGAAACGTCACGGTACTCGAACTGTAAATGTCGTGGGGTTTACTCTCAAACACACCAGCTAGTGCTGAACTAGTAACTAATTGGCACGTTTTACTTACGTGACAGACTTTACTAATAATAGGCTGTTGGATTGTGGTGGGTTTAACTACACATCCATATGTACACGATCTAATCCAAAAAAAACCTCTGTCATGGATAATATCGGTCGCAAAAGCCTTCTACGTGTTAAACTGATCGTCGACGATCACCAGCCACTGGACGATACTGGAACGACACCAGGAGCGATTCCTATACTGCTACTCCAGAACACAAGAGATTTAATCGCGGTGGGCATGCGGTGCCCTTGCGCCCACCACTCTCCCTTCTCACGAGCGGGACCAACACCATCTCCACGAACATAAGTCAGATTGGGGAGGGGAAGGAGAGGCGTGAAGAAGCATCATGCCGACTCCCCCAACTCGGATTTAAAAATAGTGAACACGAGGGGCAATGGACCGTGGAAGGAGATACAAACAACAAACTCTCAATCAGAGCAGCTGGTCACAGGGACGGATGGGCGAGTCTAGTGGGCAGCACTATCAAAAAGCACGTTTTTAATCACAAACTAATTTGTAGACGATCTCCGTCACCGCCCGCCTAATGATGTTGGTATTTATTACAACATAAGCAAATAGTACCATAGCTGGCACCTTGGAGGGGGGGACAAGCCACTTCCTATACAGATGTCGACGGGACCACCCTGCCAAAGGAGGCATACTGTGAGGCCCAGACCATCCACCCCATAATGCCTGCCAGGTCGCTGCCCAGGATATGAACTCCAATGGGACACTGGAGGCTCTGTCCTAGGTTTCCATCGCTCTGGATGGAATGGGCCCTTGGGAGGAGGCCTCTAGGCAGGTGATGCAGATCGCGGGCTGGGCCACGATTCTGACCTCGGAGGCCGCATTCCCCCGTCGCCGCCCTACGGCAACAGGACAAGCATCTCTCGGCCGTGCCAAATTTAGCTGTAGGAAATTTCCTATCCCGCTTACAAGAGAGGACAGACCTAGGGACAATCGGAGCACGAGTCTACGCCCTCCCTGGACTCCCAGGCAGGGGAAAAACGGACGTCGTCACGGGAGTAACCTCGTTTAATCATTTCGACTCCACGTGGGCAACGCTCAAGACGGCGTTGTTGTGGGCACCACGCGGAAACGTAACGTGAGCATTACGCTGGGATAGCTAGCTAGGTAGTGTGTGAGAATGCGAGAAAGCGGGAGGACAGGAAACACTCGGTTGTGTGTTTAGGTCTTGGGGCTCCATCTCATGCTTTTAAAAAAATGAATAGGTTACTTGTAGCGCGTGGAGACACGCGCTCGCTAGGCGCGAGATCACGAGGCGCAGAGGGCAGGACTGGTGGCATGGTGGGTGGTGCAGCTAGGGGGGATGAGGGTGTGGGCAAGCAGGGGGAGCCAGGGGCCACCGTGCACCGCCAAACAACTGAACCTCTCTGCTTTCCGGAAGAGCCCCGCTGTGACAGCGACATCACCGGCTGAACGATGGGCACCAACAGGCACCGATGGTCACACACTGCGCCAGGCTCCGCCACGCTGCACCACGCTGCACAACACTGCACAACGCTGCGCTTTCCCGTGCGCTAGCAGGAACCCAACCCAACGAGCCAATCTCGGTGTTCTGAGAACATCTTGAGGGACACTGATATAGCCATTAGAGAGGGGGTTTTTATTTGGGTCGGATTACGTAAATATAAATTAGGCTGGTTGTTGTAATTACCGGCGAAATGTGAATGTTGTGGGTTCACTCTCCGACACACAACCAGTGTGCTGAACTAGTAACTAGCTGGCACATTTTGTTAACGTGACAAAGCCTTACTCATTGGCCGTGTCCGGTGGTGGCAGGGGTTTAACGACACATCGATACTTACAAGACCTAACCCCAAAAAAAACCTTTATCGACATTATTGGTCACGAAAGCTTCCTACGACTACTACCACTACTACGAGTTAAACTGACGCCGACACAGATGGAAAGAAAAGGGCAAGATGGGCACACACAGCAGGGTCGGGTTTGGTGGTTTACGCACCGAGGCAGCCCAAGCCTCCTGCCAAGAACAAACGATCAAGGAAAAACACAAATCTGTCGTCCCCACGGTATCAGCGACGACCTCTCCGGGGCTCGGTGTGCTGCGGGGTGAGGACTGGCCTGGGTCGTGTTGCTCATCAGCGTGGCGGAAATCTAAACGGGTCCCGGACTGCGCAACGGACTGCGCAGGGCAGAGGGGGGGGTGCCTACCACCGGCACCACCTTCAACGCTGCAAATTCGGCTTCACATTCCTAAAAAAAAGTTTAGAAAAAAAAGTAAAAGCATAATAAATAAATACAAAACGATTATACACTTTATGTAAATTGTGATCACTCCAAAAGACGTCAATGCTGCTGGCTACACAGGACACGACGGAGCGAGGCGTGTGGAGCCGGTTGGCCTCGGCAGCCGAGACAACGAAGTAACGTCGGACGCATGAGGTGGTGGCGGTGCCCTCGACAGAACGAACACGGATGGAAACTAAGCGAAGCTGCATTCGCTGTGAACTCAGAACATTAACTACCTCACGATATCCAACGTGGCAAGTTAAGAGGCGTAGATTTAATAGAAATCCCAACAAAAGAGCATCGCACAACGAAACACTACTCACCCCATTAGCACATTAACATTGCTACCCCTTGCACCAATGTAATGCATGCGTTGTCTGAAACATCTGCTCACCCTCTACATTTGGTTTGGATTCAACTCTTTAGAAACTGATATTTGTTTAGTTTGTTGTCCTTCGCCCCACACCTCCGAACAGCACGGTTGGCTACGTACGGTATGAAAGAAGTTCGACGTGCGTACGTACGTTCGGCTCGTCACTTTGCTCTATGCGGAGCGATTTCACGCGGTCCCATTGCTCTGCTTTTCACCACCGAAGGGCGTTGCCATTTCTGTTGCTTCTCCCTCCCACAGCCAATCGCCGTCGTCTATGCGTTACACATGCCTCCCCTGCACACTGAGACTACGAGACACGAGAGAGAGAGTGGGACCCCAGGACTCGGCTCGAGGTGGTGACCTCGGCTCACCCGGTGGGGGGGCGGGGGGGGTGCTCAGGCTCCAAGAGAAAGCGGCCACTATTGCTCAATCCGCAGGGCTCGGCATGCGAGTGTGTCGCCCGCTCGCTAATTATCTTACATTGTGCCGACGCGTTGCGGGCCGCCCACACGCTTTGAAGAAAAAAAAAATCGTAACTGACCGGCATCGCAGGGCCCCCCCCCCCCCCCCCCGATGGATAGGACCGCGAGGACCCTGGGGAGTTAGGAATGGGAGTGAAAAGGAGGCTTGGACCTGCACCAAGGAGTAAAAAAGAGCCAGGGTGAAGGGGAGGGGTGGGGGGATTCAGGTTTCAGATGAACTGGATCGGAGCTGGAGAGCGGACTCGGGCATTTTGGGGCTCCCAGAAACAAACGACTGATGGGCCCCCCCCTCCCGCCTCCCCCCCCAGCCTCCCCCCGTCCCCGCCTGTCCGATGTATCCATACTTATATATACACGAACACACGTGCGTACACATATACATATATGTACAATACAGTATATAGAGGATGCTGTCGGAGCGACGTCACAGGTCAGTAGTCAAGAAGCAACTCCACTGCCCAGACCCGACCACTGGGGCCCGGTGGGCGCGCGCGGGGGTGGGAGGGTGGACGTTCCCATCCACACCCCACCCCCGTCGTTTCGTTTACACCGCCGTGGCCTCGTCAGTCGCTGTCGTCGGAGCTGATGACAATCTGCTCTCCTGCCGCCTGCGCCCCGGCCCGGGGGAGGCCCCCCGGGGGCGGCTGCGGTGCCAGCGCGGGGAAGGCGGCCCCGGGGCCACGCAGGAACGACAGATCCGTCGCCGGCAGCAGCGACGGCGCCGGCAGCGTCAGCGAGGGCAGGAGGCCGTGCTCGCGGAGGCCTTGGTCCCTCAGCAGGGTCTGCGCGAGCGTCGAGGACGAGAAGGGCGAGCCGGGCGGCAGGGCGGCCTGCGGTGAGGACACGTGTGATGCTGCGCCCCCCGCCGCGGGGTTCGTCGACGGCGGCAGGAAGTATCCGCCCCCCCCGCTGTAGAGGCGGGGGTCTCCGTACACCTGCTGGTAGGGGTAAAGCGTGGGCCCCACACACAGCGGGCGTCCCAGCGGGGCGAGCGGCGCCACGCCCAGCGGCTCGGGGAGCCCCGACGTGGCCGACGAGGGCCCGGGTGGGGAGAGAGCCAGGCCGTTGCGTGTCCGTGCCTCCTCCTCCCCGTCCTGCTTCTCCTTCTCCGCGCATCCGTTGAGCTCCGTGCTGTGCCCGCCGTCCCTGCGCAGGCGTTCCGCCAGGGCGCCGTCCCCACGCCTGTCCAGCTGCCCTTTCTCCTCGGAGCCCTGCTCTCCTCCTCCTCCACCGCCATCGCCGGGCAAGGGCTGCTGAGTGTGGGCGAGCGCGGGGGCAGCCGGGAGCTCGTGGGAGTCTGGTCCACAATGCATCGGCGCGTCCATCAAGCCCAGCGCAGACGCGGCGGCGCCCCACGGCTGTGAGGAAGAGTGCGGCACTGGCACGACCTCGCCTGCACACAGGAGAGCGAGAGAGCCATCAGCACATGGCCTGAAAGGGCCACAGCCCACGAGTGCCATGGCCTGTGAGTTGCATGGCCTGCGAGTGTCACGGCTTAGAAGTGTCACAACCTGCGAGCATCACGGCCTATGAGAACCACAACCTGCATGTACCACAGCCTGTGAGTAGCAGCAACAACAACCGCTGTTCACCACTAAGTGGCGATGATGTCACCACGGCGCCTGTGCCAGGCCACGTGCACTTTTAGGTCATGTGACGTGTCGAATGCCCACTGGCAGGTCATGGAACAGACCCAGGTGCCATGGGTTCACTGAGATGACTGACAGATGCACCGACTGTGCTCCCCACTGTGCCAACTCTCTACGTTTTAGCCGCCCGGCGCTCCGCTCGTTGTCGTGAACGTAGCTCCTCTGCCCTCCGTTGTTTTTGAAGGGCACATATTGCTAGTGCCAGGTCAGCTTCACATCCTTCTGTACCACGTACATCCATCTCTTTTCCAGCACGTGCCACGACATTTAGCCCCATCTATCTGGCCAAACAGAAGCTGCTTGGGATAGGACGAGCCACATCCTGCACCGTAGGATGTGGCACAGGCTCGGGGACTCTAGAGGTGGCAAGTGCCCAAGACTACTGCTCGCCCATCTACCCAGGACACTTAGGGTCAAGGAAACAGGGAAACTCCACGTGACAAAAACCCAGGGCAGGAAAACACGCAAACAGATACAAAAAGCCTGTTCAGCCCACTCCTCCTGCTCAGCCCTCTCCACCTCGATCCCTCGCCACCTCTATCCCTCTCCACCTGCACAGCCCCAGCCCTGGATGTGCGAGAGTGAATGGGGCGTGCAGTGACCTCCAGGGGCGGTGCGTCCGGGATGCTTGGGTCCGGACCTGACGGCAAAGATCTTGCCGTCGTTGGTGCGGATGTAGACCCCTGTGGGAAAACGCGGGTCCTGGTTAGATATCGGGGTTGTGCCCGGCACCCTTGCTAAACAGCGCGGCCATTGAGAGGCATTCACAGCAAGTGCTGCCGCAAGACCCCTAATCAATCTCCTTGCTTTGGGAGTGCTTCTCAGTCATTCGAGCCCCAATTATTGCACTCCCTGGCTCTGACATTCCTCCTCAAAGACACTGGTGGGAACCAGCAACCGATCAGAGCAGCAACAGGCCGATGCGCAGATTTCCTTCACTAACAAAATATTAAAAACAAGCCAAAGTGGTGGGTTTGCGGCCAGGCAAACCAAACGATGAACCATTAAGTGGACGCAATGTAGTCTGCGCTCCTTCAATGGAAGTGTAGCAAAGCTACATAAAACTCTCTCCCCTGAAGCCCTCTCATCGTGGCCAGCAGACCTCGATAATGGCATTTACCCCATCAACGTAAGGAAAGCTTTCGTGATGCATGCCATGAAAGCTATTTTATCCTGTTTGAACCTTGTCAGCACACTGAAAATGGTCCTTTTTGGTGAGTCGGTTCCTGTAAGTAAACAGCCAATTCGAGAATGGGACATCCTCCAAACGCAATCTTTGGCTTTGTAGTCATGTTACCATCCCTTGCTGCAGCAGGATGTGGCAGGTGATATCTCCGACCATCGTTGCTGTCGTCTGAAATTTTAGCTGTGATATCTTCAGCAAGGACCGTCACGGATATAATTTGCGTTCACGCCACCGTATTTACTGTCCTGGGGTGTCATTGTTTTGAATTCCCTGAATAAATTGGCACATCTCTGTCGAGCAACATTGCGATTATTTGCAGAGTCTGTTTGTCCACATTTCCACGGTCGCCCCACTTCAACACCTTCCGTTCATATTCTTGACCGAAGTTTAAAAATGCTGTACCGTTTTGTAGCCCTTGGGGCTAAATTGCCATGCCGCTCTCCTGCGAACCCAAGCTACTCAGGCTCCCCTAGAGGCAAGCCGCAGGTGGCTGCACTGAGATACAAGGGCCGCCGTCGCCGCCCCCGCCTCTTATGCAAGTGACGTTCATCGCACGCCCACTTCTGCAGCACTCTAATTGCAGGCCCTCCTCTTGCGTTCTACTGCTGCCATAGCCGCTCCTCCGGTCACGTTGGTGACAGCAGTGCGCACATTTAGCACCGGCAGAGCTTCGGTGCACAATGTCAATGACATTATGCACCGAAGCTCTGCCGGTACTAAATGGCTCTCCTTCGATGCTGTGCGGTTTCCTTGCTGTGGATGCACGGGTTCCACTCCTCTCTCGCTCTCTCTGACTTGAGCTTCTCCAGTCCACGTTGCTTCTTCGTGATATCCGGTCCGTTTTGTGTTTACCATCGCCATGCCATGAGTAGTTTCCTTGCTCCCACCCTGGGTGTTGGCACTAAATACTCTGACGGCAATCTTTTCCATTTCAGGAGTCCCCTTCTTATTACGTAAGGGATGTTGCATTCCTTGGAAATGTGACTTCACTCGAAATTGCTTAAAGAAAACTCCAATTTCCCCAATGACATAATGTTAAATCAGGAGTTGCTTTCCTCATCGACATTTCCTGGTAAAAAAGTGTGACTAAATAGCACGGATGGCTAAATAGGGTGCAAAAAAAATTCAACGCACATACATGAAGTGTAAAAAATGTATATGATTATTTGTGGACATACATTTTAAATAAATACAGTTAGATACAACTTATCAAAGATGGCTTCAAAGTTTGCTGATCCGAGGCCTCTTGGGGTGAGCATTGGTGGAGTGATGCAGACGAAGGGGCAGGATCGCCTTCCCCTTCTTCTTCATCTGACGATGAAGCTGGAGCCACAGGAAGGTTCACCAGAGGAGGCTGCCTCTCTGCCGGGCTCTTCTCCGGACCGTCCAGCTTGATTGCAGAACGTTGAAAAAAAATGTCCAAAGACGGCTGGACAAAATTGTTCTGCTTCGTTGTTCCAGTTGCATCAGATCCTCACTTGACAGCAACTCAACCACGTTGTCCGACTCCTCCACAATGTTGAGTCCAGCTATTTTGCGACGCAATACTCTGTGTTGTGCGCGTATGGCGCGTGCCACGGGTCAGGGATGCCTTCCCCTGGGTGCATGTACACGTCAGTATCACATCGCAAAATAGTTTGTTTTCGCTGGGTGCGTTTCAAGTTTTTTATGCGCAAGAATATGCACTCTTTTTTGTTAAAGAACCCATATGCGAAACGGTAAACTCATTTCCTAATTCGTCAGCAACGTATATGTGAAACAACGCATAATGCGGCAACTCATAGCTGGGGGATTCCTTTCTATCTCTGCATGGAAGAAATAAAATGCGTAAATATCCATGGTATATACGTATAAATATATATTAATTAGTAAAATACGTAACAAATAAAATAACATAAAGTATCACAGCACCCTGGGACTTTCTTGTAGAGAGATCCAGTACCTGATGCTCATGACGGTTGCATCACAATTTCTCCTATCAACTATATTCGAGTTTGCATCAAGCGACAAACCGAACATGCAAATAACCGTCGGCCCCAACTGCAATAAATCACCCCACAGCAGCCCCAAAGAACTTAATAAGAACTCTCAAGTCAAGAGGCTCGCAGGAGCAAGTTTCAGCAAGGCCCCCCCCCCTTCACGGAGGTTCCCCCCGTCCCCCCACAAATCCCTGCGCAGCCAAACCCCAAGAGAGCCCCAATCAATGGGGGCCACGCAGGGCCCCCAGTGGTGCCTCTCCCACCTGGGATCCAAGAGCGTGCTTCGGGAAGCAATTAGAATCAAGGGGTGACCCTTGACAGGAGCTCGCATGAATAACATTCAGAGTCTGGGTTGAGAAACTCGGTAAACTGCTGTGAAGCGCCCAGGGCCACGTCTCTCTCTCACACACACAAGCTTCAAGCAACACAAATCTGCGCCGAGTGAGAAATTGAACAGTCTAAAATGGCACGAAGGCAGCGATCGATGAGTTTAATTTGAGCAACATGGCAGCCCATTGAGATTCAGTGCAAGAGGAATGTGGCAAACATTAGTTACAGTTGTTTTTGAGATGTTTCGTTGCAGGCAATTGTTCAAATTTGACATGTGGGCCGCGACAATGGCCCTTCTCTTGCTGACGACGTCAGAATTTTGAACGTAAGCCTCTCGGAGGAGGCAGGATAACCCTGATGAGCATCTACAGAAACCGATGGGTGGCAGCAGGAACCAGAGGCACGTGAGCGCACTCAGCGACCAACATAGGGCCCAGGGTGTGGTCACTGTGTGCCAGGGTCCTGGTTTTGTTCCCAAAGGTCTAACTTATTTTTTTTATTTTACCAGGTAAGGCCCACTGAGCTGCTATACAGCTCTTTTTCATAAGCTACTTGGTCACAAATGATAGGTCAACGAAGTGGCTTATCATCACATGGGAATATACAGCCGCCAAATACTCCCAACGTGTTTATTCTCTCATGTGGACGGAAAAACCTGAGGACCCGGAAAAAAATCCACGTGACCACGGGCAGAGAAAACATGCAAACTCCAAATATACACAGCAGGCGTCAGGGTCGGGATCGAACACACTACATCCTCTATACCAGGGAGAGGTAGTTAACATCTTGGCAAACAAAGTTTCAGTAAATAAAAAAAATAAGACTGTCGACAGCAACTGCGTGGAGGCAGATTTTCCTTGGCAATTAAGTTATCAATTTAGTTGCCAGTAGTGTGTGCCACGTGTCAAACGGCACCCCGGACGCCTTTCATGAGATCAGTCATGAGCACATTTTGATATTCGCGCCATTCCGAGAGCACAAGGCAATCATGACGGAGGAAGGCGCCGCTGTGTTTCAGACACAGCCCACAGTGGTTTAACAGTAGGGGGGGGGGGGCGATGATGCTGCGTTGCGTAAACCCAATCGGATGTTCCGCGGGTACTTTTAGAAACTTCGAACCGTGGCAACAAGCTCCATATCACGGCACTTTGCTGCTATGGAAAAATTCTGGTCAATAATTCTAATGGCAGAGAATCTCCACGGGCTTCCACGTGGCTCGAGGAGAACGGTGCGGCGGGGAAGGGCTGCCTCTGCGGCGGGCGTGCCGCGGACCAGTGTGGGGTGCGCGCTAGACGTCGTCAGTTACCCCTGTTCCCCTGGATGACGAAAATGTTCTCCCCCGCCGAGATCTTGGCTTGTGTATTGGTGGATGTGTGTGATCCAGGAACCACAATATCTGATGAAAATAAAAAAGCACACATCGTTCACACTTTGCAACATCTGATAAAGATGAGCCTGGGCCCAATAGACTGCTGCTGCTGAGGCAAAAAACACAGGCGGCCAGAGAGAGGGAGAGGCTGCGGCCAAATTCACCCATCGGTGGCTAGCGCCATCATGGTAACCGTGGCAGCATCGAGAGAAGCAGAATTACACTTTGTGTGGCAACGTATTTTTCAACACGAATTCAGCCGTTACCCCGTAGCTTAGGCCTGTGAAGGGGGGGGCGGGTTTAGGTGTTACGGCCGTGGCGAGAATTAAGCGGCAAGGCAATGTTGGGGGCAGAGGGTAGATGGCTCAGACGGCTGCTACTATCTGCTTCAGGAAGGGACCCACGAGAGCCAGGTTCAAATCTCAGGCTCCCACCATTGTGTGGTGATCTCAGCACAGTAAACGATGACTGGACTGATCGGCACATTCTGTGCCTCTCGATAATCTAAACCATGAACTAAACTATTATTTTCATTTGACCAGGTAAGGCCCACTGAACTATATGCCTCTTTTTCAGAAGTGACGTGGCCACAAATGATAGCTCAACGAAGTGGCTTACCATCACGTGGAAATTTTACAGCAGCCAAATACTCTAAAGCGCTTATATGAAAATAGAGTCGACTGATTGTGAGCGCGTGGCTCTGCGCTGATGACAAGCCCCAATTTCATCTTCTTGGTTCTTTCGGTAAAGTCACGTAGAAGGGAAGTAATAATAAAAATAAAATATTATGTTTTATGTTTTATTTTTATTATTTTATTACTTCCTTTTTTATTATTATTATTATTTTTATTATTTTATTACTTCCCTTTTTATTATTATTATTATTTTTATTATTTTATTACTTCCCTTCTACGTGACTTTACCGAAAGAACCAAGAAGATGAATCCCTGCAGTCACGAAAGCTTTAAATCGAAATTTAAAGCCCCAAATTCTGGATGTAAAGGTGTTCTCGGACAGGAGCGGTCAGTTGGAGCCGAGTGGAGACGACCGCTGGGGTGGGACGGGGGGGCTAGGCCACGAGCTCTCTCTCCCGTAGGGGGAACCAACACACAAGCCTCACAGCTTCCCTCTCACGTCGCCTTCTTCTCATGCCAGTGCCAGGCCGAGGCTGTGCTGCCGCCGGGAGGGGGGGGGGGTTCACAGGGCCCAGCGAGAGCCTGTTTTCTCTATCCCGTATTTACTCAGAGTTCTGCATTTTATGACGTTTTGCCAAAAGCATTTCTGGGAACAGTTTTGTATGCGAATGCAGGGGTTTTTCTCTGACACAAGAACGACAATCAAATTATTTCCCACTCACTCCATTATAGGCACTGTTTTTATCTGAATAGATAATATATGGATGCCGATTTAGAAATGTGCAACACTGTGGCTTTGCATTACTATTGTGTTTTTGTATTGTGTTTGTTGTAACGTTCTATAAAAGAGCTTCATAGCTTATCGGATGTATCCTGCAGTAAAAATACAGATTCTGATTCTGATCTGGAACGCGAGATCTACTCTACGGCACAGAATGGGCCATGGTGCCTGTCTGGATGATAACCAATCCGGAATGTTTAAATCCGGGGAATCCTCACTCAACATCCTGAACACTTTGTCAGGAGGATTGGATTTTTAATCTTTTCAATACATTTTTTGCGCTAATTTTTATTTTTGACCTTGGAAAAAAATACACGAGCGGATGGAAGGGCAACGCTCAACTGAGCAGACCCCCAGTAAGAAAATCCTCATGAGTCTTCCTCACCATTTCTACCCAAGTATTTTTAAATCGCTAAAAAAGCTGAAAGATTCCCAGAAATGCTATTAAAAAAAACATAAACGCAGAACTCATTCGCAGCAAATCTCTCTTCGTTCAGGGCATCGTGTTTATCAACAAAATGTTGCAAGAAAATTTGCCTCACATAATTTTATGCTCTGGGTCATCTTTGGGTCATCTTTTGCCTGGCGGGATAGGCTGCCCAGAGCGATGATGATGCTTTAAATCAGAGTTAAGGGCGAGGGGCACAGTTTATTGGGCTCAAGCAAGAGGAACACGATCAATTTCATTGACGTCAGAGACACAGCAGGTCAATCTGAGCAAAAACACAAAAGGGGTTCATATTCTTTGGGTCTTTCGGTAAAGTCACGAAGATAGGTTCAAAAAGAATAACAAAAAAACTACGACGTTTCAATCGCAACACAAGCGGTCGTCATCACGTAAAGGGGGTTAGCCTCTCAAGGCAAACTGTTTATAAAAGTTTAAAATGGGTGTAGCCGAAGTGTCAGCCGCATGGGCGGGGTAGCTAATGTTAATGTAAGGGATTAAAAACGATGTCCCCCAGCAGCATGTAGGGCGGTGCTAGCTATGATTATAGTCGTGGGCAATGCTGATGCTGGTGGTGGGTTTCCACCAATTAAAGGGCTGCCAGGTAATTATTGCACCTGGCTTTCAGCAGCATGGGCGAGGTAGCTAATGTTAATGTAAGGGATTACAAACGGTGTCTGCCAGCAACATGTAGGGCAGTGCTGCCAGGTAATTAAACGCTCACCCTGGTGGCGGTGGAGGTTGCTGCTAGAGGTGATGGTAGTTGTGGGCAGTGATGGTGCTGGTGGTGGGCTTCCACCAATTAAAGGGGTGCCAGGTTTTAAATGGAAACATTACAGCCAGTTATGACTTAAACTGGCTGATAACGTCCTTCCAGTGATTGCTGAGTTTGGAACCATCTTCTTGGTTGAAATTGTGTCTATGTCTGTATATGTGGATGGCTTCATGAACGAATCTTTGTTGATAGCCAGTGGGTTTGCAAAGTACCTTCGTCTTAGAGAAATCAATTTCGTGTGAGCCCACCGCATTAAAACAATGATCAGCCACGGCCGAGGTATTGGTCCTACCGTGTTTCAGATCTGCCTCATACTCACGAACACGATCCAAGACATGTCGCTTAGTTTCCCCAATGTAACTACTGCTGCAAACACAGCTTAGTTTGTAGACGCCGGGGTATTGCATGTCAGGGATCACATCCTTTACAGATGGGATCAGATCACGAATTTTATGGACTGTGTTTGCTCATGATTTTGAAAATATTTTTGGTGACCCCTGCCTTGTATGGCAAGGTGATGATTTTGATTGGGTCATCAGATGGTTCTTTCTCAACGGTTGGGGTGATGGCTTTACAGATTGTTTAGTCTGAATATCCATTGGTCTTGAGAGCTTGGTGTACGTGTTCAGTTCACTGGCTAGGTGATGATGGTCGGAAATACATCGAGCACTATGGTGTAGAGTTTTAATTTATGGTGGTGGGAGTTAGGTTTTAGGTAGGCATCCGTATGGGTTGCTTTCCTGTAGACACTCGCCCATTGAGCCATCTGGTCTCTTTTCGATTAAAACATCCAAGAATGGTAGCTTGCCATCCTTTTCCACCTCCATGGTGAATTTGATGGCTGAGTGTATGGAATTTATGTGGTTGAGGAATTGATTTAGAGCTGGTCGGCCATGTGGCCAGATGACGAACGTGTCATCTACGTACCTCTTCCACAAGGACGGACGTAGAGTGGATGCCTGGATGGCATCTGTTCCAAATTTTTCCATGAAAACATTGGCTACAACCGGAGATAAGGGAGAACCCATTGGGGTACCTTCCCCTTGTTTGTAAATGTTCCATTCTAGGTGAAGTAAGTGTTGGTGAGGCAGTGTCTTACCAGGGCCGGTACATCAGCATTCAGTCCTTGTTGGACCAAATCTTCAATGATTGCAATGGTGTCAGGCACAGGAACTTTGGTAAACAGAGACTACATCGAAACTAACGAGCAAATCACCTGGAGATAATGAGATGTCCTTAAGTAACGATATCAAGTGAGCCGAGTTAAGTACAGCTTAGGTGGTCTTACCAGTGAATGGTTGTAAGGTCTCAAACAGAAATCGGGCCAGTTTGTAGGTGGATGAGTCAATGGTGGAGACGATAGGACGAAGGGGTGTACCTTCTCTATGGATTTTTGGTAGGCCATAAAATCTGGGTGGTCTAGCAGCAGATGGTTTTAAGGAAAACCGCTTGGTTGGTTCGATTAAAGATGTAGAATCAGTGATGATATTGTTGGTTTTCGTAACGAGGCTGTTGGTGGGATCTCTTTTAATTTTTGTATAGTTACCATCATTAAATAGGTCCTGAATTTTGTTATTGTGTGTGGTTTTGTCCATGATGACCGTGGCATTGCCCTTGTCGGCTGAGAGGATGACAATGTCATCCCTCTTTTTTAATTGAGAAAGCACTACTACCATCACCTCTAGCAGCAACCTCCACCGCCACCAGTGTGAGTGTGTAATTACCTGGCAGCACCGCCCTACATGCTGCTGGGGGACACCGTTTTTAATCTCTTACATTAACATTAGCTACCCCGCCCATGCTGCTGACACTTAGGCTACGCTCATTTTAAACCTTTATAAACAGTTTGCCTTGAGAGGCTAACCCCCTTTTCCTGATGACGACCGCTTGTGTTGCGATCGAAATGTCGTAGTTATTTGTTATTTTCCTTTAAACCTATCTACGTAACTTTACCGAAAGACTCAAAGAATATGAATTCCTGCAGTCACGAAAGCTTTAAGTCAAGATTTACATAAGGGGTAGTGAAGTCACGGGAGTTCACATCACCCGAGGCCTTGCAGTCCTGAGCAGTGTCTCTCTCAAGCGGCCGCGGCGTCTAGGGGCCTGGTGCAGGAGAGCGAGTGGCCTCGCTTACCCCCATCAGATATACGCGGTGTTACTCACAAGCCAAAAAAACGAGAGAGAAACATTCGGAGGCAATGTCCCTGTGATGGAACTGTGCATGAGCATGTGTGAGAGGGGAGCCTGTGGTGCAATGGTTAGAGCGTGGCACTACGAACTCGGTGACACAATTTAGATTCCCACTCCATCCGGTGAGCGCCACTCTCCAGCAAGATGCGCAGAGACGTGCCGAGTCTGTGTGTGCCGTGTGTGTATGCCTGTGTGATTTCTCAACTCCGTCGTTGAGCACCCAGTGAACGCGAAGCAATTGTCTTTAAACTCGCAGCACATGACTAAAACCAGGAGGCCTGACCTTGAAAATAGAGTCGACTATCTGTGTCGTGAGTGGTGTCTGTGTATGAGGTGTGTGTGTATGTGTACAAGGTGTGTGTGTGTGTATGAGGTGTGTGTATGTGGTGTGTGTTTGAGGTGTCTGTATAACGTGTGTGTGTGTATGAGGTGTGTATGAGGTGTGTATGAGGGAGGTGTGTGTATGAGGGATGTGTGTGTGTATGAGGGATGTGTGTGTGTGTATGAGGGATGTGTGTGTGTTTATGAGGGGTGTGTGTGTGTGTATGAGATGTGTGCGTGTATGAGGTATGTGTATGAGGTGTGTGTGTCTATGAGGTGTGTGTGTATGTGTGTGTGTATAAGGTGTGTGTGTGTATGAGTTGTGTGTTTGTGTATGAGGTGAATGATACCTGGGTCTGTCCCGTGACCTGCCAGCGACCTTTCGGCACTTAAAGTGCACCTAGCCTGGCACAAGCGCCATAGTGACGTCACGGACACTTAGTGGCGAATGACGGTTGTTGATGTGTGCGTGCGGTGCGCTGGCCACGCTGGCGCTGCACCGCGCTACCGGTGGTCGTGACGATCCTCTGCACGTTGACGCCGGCGCGCTGCAGGGAGCTCATTGTAAGCGCGGCGGGGTTGAGGACGCCGGGGGTGAGGCCGGACCCAGCGGGCACCACGCGGGGCAGCATGGGCACGGGCGTCGTCTGCATGGGCGGCACGTTGGCCACGGGGCGGCTCTTGAGGCCCGCGTGCATTGAGAGCCTGGGCCGGGGTCGGGGTTGCGCATCACACACACACACGAACGCACACATGGCGACGCGCGCGGGCGCGGTCACAAGCCGTGGCGGGGGTGCTCGCCGAAGGTACAACCAAAGACGGCGTGCCCCCTTCTCCTCGCCACCGCCGATACACATCTCGCACCGAGACACACGCGCGTGCGGTGCGGAACACAGCCACGGGGGGCGTCTAGTCTACGGTTGTTAAAATGTCTGTTGGTGTAGCCTCACTTGGTCAACACGCACTCACAGATTACCACGCCGCGAGTCACCCAACTGATGATTAGCACGGTTGGCTACGGTACGGTGCGAAGGAAGTTCAACATATATACGTACACAGCACACGCCCCTCACACGCCTCCCGCAATAACACTCCTAAAAGCATCACCCCTCCACTGTGTCTCTCCCACTTACAACGTTAGGCCCCTGTGTAGCTCGCGAGTTGGTGCTGTTCCATTTCACTTAACCCCCACCCCATGTGACCATACGTTGTACCTTTCCCTGGTTATGGTTCAATCAAATACTTCTGGTTAAACAAAATATATACACGGGTGTTTGTGCATCAACGGTGACCGGTTTTTCTGCACGTATGGAATGTCTGTGAACAGACACCACATTGCAACCTTTGCAACTGAGAATTGGAGGCAGCTGCCCCAGTGGTTGTAAGTGGTCAGCAGCGCATTGGACTTGCCATCCAGAGATCACCGGTGCAATTTACTCGTAAATATTACCTTTAGGCTTGCCGCTGTGCCAATTGGTCAGTAGATTTGTTACAAAAACTCCCATCAGAATCAATGATCGGTTCTTGGCTTTCAGAACCGATTCTAGCAGAGGTTACCGGTTGACCGGTCATTGTTTAACAACTCTCGCCAATTTTTTTAAATTAATGAATTATATTACTTAATATTAAGGGCAACATGGTGGTGAGATGTTTACTACCTTGCCTGGTATACAGGAGGTCGGGGGTTTGATTCCAACCTTGAAGCCTGTATATTTGGAGGGTGCATGTCCTTCCTGAGATTTGTCTCTGGGTCCTCCGGTTTTTCACTCCACATTTAGAAATGTGTGTTTAAATTATTTGGCTGCTGTAAATTTCCACATGATAAGCCACTTTGTTGAGCTATCATTTGTGGCCAGGTCGCTTCTAAAAAAATAGCTTTGTACCTCAGTGGGCCCTTACCTGGTAAAAAAATAAATAGATTAATAGATATGAGCAAGCAAGCCCAAAGCCTCTTTTTCAGGAGAGTCCTCCAATGGAGATGTTTGGCCAACACCAGTTACAATGCATGTTTTTGCTTTGTTTCTCAGCTTGTGGGAGGAAACCGGAGAACGTGGAGGAAACCCACACGTAAGAGTAGGGGGGTAGAGAGAAAACTACAAACTCCACGCGCCCGGGTCTGGAATCAAACCCGGGGCGGCAGGGGACTGCTCGCTGCGAGTATCCACACCACCACCACTGCCGCCGGTCTCCTGCACCGGGACCGACGAGCGCCCGGCCACAGGAGGCTTCTGCGTGGCGCCGCTGCTGCGCACGGCCGCACCTGTGGTGCTGCTGCTGCTGCTGCGCGAAGGCGGTGAGGCTGCTGAGGCTGCTGGCCACGCTGGGGTAGAACTGGGCGTAGCTGGGCCGCTGGTAGGGCACGCACGCACGCTTCTCGTCCTCGTAGCTCTTCTTGGCGAGGCGCTTCTCGGCCGGCGTGAGCCGGTACTCGGAGCGCTCCATCAGCAGAGACTCGTGCGTGAACGGCTCCTGCGGGGGTCAGGGGTCGTGATCCCCGTTGCGTTGACGCCGCACCGTAGGGCGGCGCCCATCACCGCTTGCTGCGTTGAGGTTCGCGATTTGAATCTGGCAGGCCTCCCTGGTTATCACTGCGGTTGTACCAACCACAAACTACGAGGCGTTGCCTGCTTCACTGTGGTGCGTGTTACACTGGTGAGTGGTCACTCTGGTGAGCGGTTGCCCTGGTAAGTGGTTACCCCGGTAAGTGGTTACCATGGTGAGCGGTTAGCCCTGGTAAGTGGTTACTCCGGTGAGTGGTTACCATGGTGAGCGGTTGCCCTGGTAAGTGGTTACTCCGGTGAGCAGTTACCATGGACGGGAACCCCGGTTAACGGTTGCCCCGGCAAGTGGTACCTTGGTGAGCAGGCGACTGTGCTGGAGGCAGGCGTTGCGGAGGAGCGGGTCGTGGTGGCGCTGCGCGATGGAGGGGAGGTCCACGGGGGCCGCATCCTCCTCCTCCACCAGGTGCAGCAGATTCTCAACCTCGTGGCGCGTGAAGTTCAACACAGGGTTCATGTCGTCCACCACGCGGTCTGCACACACGCACACACACGCACCGTACATACACACGCACCGCACACACACAGTACCGTACACGCGCCGTACACACACACGCACTGTACATACACACGCACCGCACACGTACCGTACACGCACCGTACACGCATCGTACACAAATGCACCGTACACGCATCGTACACAAATGCACCGTACACGCACCATACACACACACGCACCGTATACGCACGGTGGTTGAAACAATGGGCAAGTCTCGTCAATGCCTCCACCTCTGTTCACCACCAATGATCCATTGCCAAGGTCCACTGGGTGAAGACCTCGGGGCCAGCCCAGGACATGCTGGTGGGACTTTGTCGCTCGGCTGGCCTGGGAACGCCTGGGAATTCCCCAGGGATAGCAAGAGTACATCGCCAGAAAATGGGAGGTCAGGACCGCCCTACTCAATGCACTGCCGCCACGACCCTCGCCAGGACAAGCGCATTGAGAAACGAACGAACACCACTGATGGACAGGTTACGTGCGGTGGGGTAAAGTGTTGGTACTTCCACCTTTTTAACGACAGCACATGAGGGTCGAGGAGGTCTTATTGCACATTCCCTGCTTGGAGATCTGCCGGTCATAGCGGTCTGACTAGACGTGCCCTGCTTGGAGATCTGCCGGTCATAGCGGTCTGACTAGACGTGCCCTGCTTGGAGATCTGCCGGTCATAGCGGTCTGACTGGACATGCCCTGCTTGGAGATCTGCCTGCAGGGGCACAACGACCTATTTCAAAGCGGCTATGCAAGATGTGACTGTACCCCCCCCTATTTTCTCCCCGACTCCCTTTTACTAAAATAGCTACGGATGTTTTTAACCTGGATACAATATTCTGTAGGCTATAACTATAAATTATATTTTAGATCCTGCACCGTGTGTTGGGATTAGAGGAAGAGAGATTCACAGTGACGGTATTAATATTTGAATCAGTTTTCTTGACATTTTGTTACTTGTTTATCTGTGGATTCGGGGCCCCCTTGTGGCCGACTGGACCCCTAAACATTGCATGACGCTGCAACATAAAGGTGCGCCTGTCTGCCTGTTATGGATGTCTTACTGGACATGCCCTGCTTGGAGATCTGCCGGTCGTAGATCTTCTTCTCAAGCGTGAAGTCAGACACGAGGCGGTACACGAAGCACGGCTTGACTTGGCCGTAGCGGAAGACGCGGCACACAGCCTGCGCGTCGTGGCACGGGTTCCACGACGCGTCGAAGATCACCACGCGGTTCGCCCCAATCAGGTTGATGCCCAGGCACCCGGCCCTACATACACACACACACACAAAGATCCCCCGTGTAGCCTTCACAGAGTGTATTGCGCAAGTGCTGTTAAGCGAGCACACCAAGAAGGCCAGCACGGCGCACGAAGGGGTAGGTGGCCATAACTACACCCGGCCGTCTTAGTGGCGATGTTTACACACCGCACCAGGTACTCATTTGAGAGCGGAGTTGACCTAGGGGAGGCCCAGGACTGGTTCAAATAATCGTAGCCAGGTGTTGGCCGTGAGCGGGAAATGAACTTGGGTTGCCGGGTTCGCAGCCCAGCACGCTAACCGCTACACCACCGTTCGCCACATATAGACACATGCACAGCCACAAGCACCAAAACAGACACGGACGTGCGTGCACACACAGGCATACACACACAGGCACACACAGACTCCACATGTTTCTGCGCGTCTCGCCGTGGAGTGGCGCTCACCGGGTGGAAAGTAGGAAGAGCCACACGCTGCTGTTGAGGGGATTGTTGAACTGGTTGATGAGTTTTTCCCGCTCTGAAGTGGCTGTGCTGCCATCCAGCCCTGCAGAGAGCGAGAGACGCAATTCCGCTCACGCTGAACAGTCGTGGACCTCCGAGACTCACCTAATTCTCTCTACGGTTGGTCACGCGATAGTCCAGGGGTAAGCGTGTTTGCTGCAGATGTTCACGGTTGGGAACTTACTACTGCGGGTGTAAAATATCGTAATAGTGCTACGCACCGTCCGCTTTGCGGTGAACCTAACACATCCCCTGGCGTAATTCGCAAAGAGAAGGACATTGTGTGTGCTCGTGCAAATTGCTCAATTAGGATTGTACACGCAACAATCATCGCCCTCCGGTGGCAGACTGATGCCCTGGGTTCATCGCTTTTGCAAATGAGACTCATCCTGGTCTCTTGAGTTCCCACCACGTTAAACGAACTCAACAACTAAAACGATTCGTCAGCTGCTCGTCATTTTCATACTTTTTCTGTCTCGACTCCCAGCAAAGGCCAACACTCCAGACAGGGCCTCGAAACGTTCCACGCCATTGCATCTCGCCACGGCGACGAGATGTTAACCAACTCGCTGGTTTGCAAGAGGTCGTGAGTTCGAACCCGACACCGACGCCTGTTGTATATTTGGAGTTTGCATGTTCTCCCCGTGTTTGCATGGATCATTCTCCGGGTCCTTCGGTTTTCCCCTCCACATTTATAAACACGTGTTTATAATATTTGGCTGCTAGACAATTCCACGTGATGATGAGCCACTTCGTTGAGCTTTAATTTGTGGCCAGGTCGCTTCTGAAGAAGAGCTACATCGCTCAGTGTGCCTTACACGGTAATATAAAAAAAAATTAGTAAAGAAAGAGTTGCCCCCCACCACCCTCTGACATCAGCTGGTTCCGCCAAACCCAGAAGCGCGCACAAAGAACGCTTTGTGTGCGGCGCTCGTTCTCACGGTAGTAGTTGACGTTCTTGCTCCAGACGAGGCCGGTGGGCGAGGAAGCTGCTGGGGGCACCTGGGTCTCTGCGGGCGGCGCCGACGAGGCCGAGGGGTCCGAGGGGGCAGAGGGGGCTGAGGGGGAGGCCGAACCCGAGACGGTGGGGATCTTCCTCTGGCTCAGGAATGCCTCGATGATGTCCAGAGTGGACAGACTCTGGCTGCAGGACCAATAGAGCAGGGGCAAGGGGCACGTGAGAGATCACCACAGCCTCTACCAAGACTCTGCTCCTCCTCTTCCTCCTCACGACCACCACCATCACCACCCGTCATCGCCACACTCCTCACCACAGATAGGCAGACGCAGTGAACAGGCAGACGCAGTGAACAGGCAGACGCAGTGAACAGGCAGACGCAGTGAACAGGCAGACGCAGTGAACAGGCAGACGCAGTGAACATGCAGACGCAGGGACAGGCAGACACGGGGACAGATAGACGCGGGGACAGGCAGAGGCAGGGACAGGCCGCCGCACCTGAAGACAAGGATCTTGTCCCCTTGCCGCACGCTCTCCTCCACCAAGTGGAAGAGCAGAACCATCTTGGCCGAGTGCTCCAGCACACCGGTCTGGTAGCTGCCCATGAGGTCCTTGGCCTGATGCACGACATCACACAACATCGTCATCATCACATCACACATCACCATCAGGTCCTGAGAGCAGGTGGGGTGCCAGGCTGAGATGACCTCCCAAGCAAAAACTGCTGAGGGAATCAAGAGCCATTCCCCATTCACCTTGGGGTGTGACAAGGATGTCCTCTGCCGACACAATTTAACATTATCTTAGACCAATAGTTCGAGACGCTTTCTATTGATGTACCAGAGGAATTTCCATCTGGTACAGATAAAATTGGAGGCTGATCGATGGCTGAGGCTGATCGATGCAGTTGTGGAGAGAGTGGAGGAGTTCCCATACTTGGGCAACGTCCTTATGACCAGTTTCGGTTTATCTGCAGAGGTCTCACTCCGAATCAATTGAGCATCATTATCTCTTCATCAGCTGCATAATGCTATGAGGAAGCTGTCTGTACAGTTGCTCCACATGACGCTTCAGGTCTTCTTGGCCACAGTTATGCCCTCCCTTCTCTAGTTGAGCATCTGCGCTGGTTTGAAATTTTAAGGATGGCTTGTCAACAATCCACCCTGGTTTAACCAGGCTGAATTTTGTGAGAAGCTCACAGATAATTTGAAGATCTGGACACAGTCCCATCGGTGAGCTACTCCAGCAGGAAAGGCTCCATTAACTGGGTCATGAAGCCAGCATGCCCAGCCACCACATGTCCAAGCAGCTTGTTTGGCTGGAAAGAGGGGGCTAAATGGGCTCGGAATGGGCTAAAGAAGAGATGTACTGATGCGTTACAGAAGGATGTGGAGCTAAGTGGATTTTACGAACACTGGTACTAGCGGTGTCAAGATCGGCCTGTGTGGAGGATGCTCGTGAAGGATGCTACTGGACAGTGGCTAAAATGAACAGTAGGGGACACAGCTGATTCATCGGCCAGCCGTCTCAGTCAGTCAACCTATGGCACCTGGGGTTGTTTCATGACCTCGTGCCAGAGGGCCTTCGATATTTCACATGGCCTCAAAGTGCACCTGGCCTGGCACAAGTACCGTGGTGACGTCACCGTCACTTAGTGGCGAATGGCAATTATTGTTGTAGGTGGTAGTGGTAATGGTCATGGTAGTAGCGATGATCGTGGTGATGGTGGTGGTTGTGCTGGTGGTGATGGTGGACACGACAGTGGTGGCGATGGTCGAGGTGATGTCGGGAGGAGACTCACCCACTCGTAGGTCACCACTTGTCCACCGCGCTCCGGTCCGCTCTGCGTCGCCGCGCCGCACCGCCCGTTGGGCAGCTCCAGGTCTGCCACCTCCCTCTGGGTGAGTGAGGGGTGGCGAGGGACACTGCTCAGTGTGGTGGTGGTGGTGACGCTGCTCAGCGTGGTGGTGGTGGTAGTGACGCTGCTCAGTGTGGTGGTGGTGATGCTGCTCAGCGTGGTGGTGCTCAGTGTGGTGGTGAGCGACACTGCTCACCTTGGCCACCTTGCGCCTGCCCGAGGAGCTCCCGGTGGCGCCGCGCTCGCGCGTGAGGCCTGCGGGGAGGTCCGACACCTCGAGGTCCAGGTCGGGGTCCGCGGCGATGCTCTCCTTTTGCAGCGCGTCAAACAGGATGTCCGGGTGGTTCCAGATCTGGGGAACGACGGGGAACACAGGGGGAGGAGGGTGCGGCAGCGTTACCGGACACGCCCACCCGCGCCGAAGCGTGGCCAGGACCATCGTAAGGAAGTCACGGTGGCTGTGCATGCTGCGGCCCGTCCTCCAGCATCGTGCGGGAAGCGGGCGAGGGTTGTTTGTAAGAGGCAAATCTCTGCGACACTCCCCTGCCGTGGGCATCACGAGGTTCAACACCCTGTGCGGGACAGAGCGTTGCCCCCTCGCGCGCATGAGGTTTCTCCGGGTGCTACGGTTTCCTCACATTTTACAAACGCTCCCTAATTGGCTGAAAAAGTCTGAAAATGTGGAGAACTGCAGAGCAATTGCTGGCGCCGGCTCACCTCGTGGCAGCCGTCCAGGCTCATGTCTGTGGTTCCTGTATATATGTATATAAAAATCTATATATCATAATAAATAAATATTGAAACATTTCCATAGAATATTAAATAAACAATATAATGATGTAAAAGTGAATACGAAGCTGTTAAAGGGTTATAATTATGTATTTGGTAAATCTGGATGCGAATGGAACGTGCCAACGAACTAATTAGTGTATTCGTTATTTTAATAATTACCCAAGAGCCTTTTATTATTGCTTAATACATTTTATTGTCCGATCAATTTTAAATAGGTAATTACGTAAATTAATTCACTGAATTATGACACAATTATTGACGACTATTGACGAAAAATGTATTACGTATGTTACCAGGGACAATTATTATGCGCTTCTGCGGCCGTCTGCAACGCTCTTCTTTCTGATATTAGGAAGCCACTGGAGCTATGCACTTTTAAATCATCAACTAGATTGACAAACTAATTTCTTTAGAACTGCTTTTGTCTTTAGTTTGTTGTCCTTCCCCCCGCACCTCCGATTAGCACGGTTGGTTACGCACGGTGCGAAAGAAGTTCAACATATATACATAATGCACACGATAAAGAACATTTGTTGTTGCACGAGCTAGATAGCGGCCTGGTCAGCGAGCACCCACATTGTCCCTATGTTGAGCAAGTCCCTGATGTCAATTGAGCAATGTCACGTTGGCTGCACTTGCTCTGCTCGTCAGCAGGTAACAGACCTCCAGCCCACGAGAAGATACACAATATTAAAACTCAACTGAACTTTTTTTAGTTTAACACGTGGGCTTTCGCCACCAATATCATCCATAAGAGGTTTTTTTTGGGTTAGATTGCGTAAATATATAAATGTGTCGTTAAACCTGCCACCAGGCCCACGGAGCTGTTATGTCGCTCTTTTTCAAGAAGCAACCTGGCTCTCACAAATGATAGCTCAACGAAGTGGCCGATCAAAATCATCACGTGGAAATGTATAGCAGCCAAATACTCTCAATGCACGTTGATTCTAAGTGTGGAGGGAAAAACTACAAATACAGCAGGCATCAGGGATGGGATCAAACCCACGATCTCCTGCATACCAGGCAAGGTAGTGGTGTATAGTGCTATAAACAGTGTAGTGCATAGTGTAGTAATGTATAGTGTAGTGTATAGTGTAGTAATGTATAGTAGTGTATAATGTAATGTATAGGAGTATATAGTGTAGTAATGTATAGTAGTGTAAAGAAATATAGTGCTGCAGTCTGTTTCCAGGGAAAGGGAGGTCTGGACTGCCCTCCTCAACATGCTGCTGACGCGACCCTCACATTTCGAAATTAATTATTTGAAAAGGCAAGAATACAACAATCCACAGTGGATGTGATGCCGCCGTATAAAATAGATCACTATATATTTTTTTTAGCGTGCATGCTCGACGATTCATGGTACCTGTTGCGCGACATTGCAAACCCGGCACGGATGCTGCCCCCCAAGGAAGCACGTGTCAAGTCCCCGCCCACACATCATAATTACATGAATAATTGCGCTACGCTTTCTAGGTGGCCGGCCCAGAGATAGGGAAATTCGATTGCACCGGCGACCGCCACGTGAATAACCGTGGGTACTGTGTGTGCATGGCGTGTGCTGCAGCACAATAAAAACAAATACAAAGCTCACCCGTATAGACTTTTCACTCTGTTAGGGAAAATGTAGTTAGCGAGCACTTATGAAGGCCGGAATGGAACACGAGGGGGTGGGTGGCCAGCACCACGCCCGATGTTTTTACACACATCGCACCAGGTACTCAGTCCATCATCCCTCCTGGGACAATAAATTAAGTACCACTTTGGTTGTTGTATGGATAGACTTGGCCCTTGGAATTAGGAATTCCCACCACTGGCTCTGCGGAGCATCAATGCCTTAAAGTTAATTTGAGCAGCAGCAAATCGCCGCTTGTACCGCGTGCGAATTCGAGACGCCCCAAGAGTGAGGCGGCACACACGAACACATGCACACACGCACACATACACACGCACGCACACACGTACACACGCACACAAAAATGGACAAACGCACACACAAATGTACACACAAAGACAAAGATCCCCCATTTAGCCTTAACAGACTGTAGGGGAAAGTGCTGTTAGCGAGCACCTATGAAGGCCGGCACGGCATACGAGGGGGTGGGTGGCCAACACCACGCCCGGAAATGTACACACGCACAAAAGACAAAGATCTCCCGAAAAACCTTACCAGAATGTTGGGGAAAGTGCTGTAGCGAGTACCTATGAAAGCCGGAACGGTACTCAAGGGGGTGCGTGGCCAGCACCATGCCCGGCTGCCTTTGTCTCCCCAGTGGCAATGTTTACACACCATACCAGGTACTCATTTGAGGCCGAGTCGACCTAGAGGAGGCCCGAAACTGGTTCAGATATTCTTCACTGGTGTTGGCCATGATCGGGAATCAAACTCGGGCCGGTGGGTTCGAAGTGCAGCGCGCTAACCGCTACACTACCGCTCCCCACACACACGCGCACACGTGCAGGCAGCCAGCAGCAGCGGTGGTGGCGCGCACCTTGCAGCAGACGCAGTAGGCCTTGAGCGGGTTCGAGCCGAGCCAGCCGGAGGAGCCGGCCTCTTGGAAGCGCAACATGAAGTGGCGGTAGAGCGCGCGCTGGATGGGCGACAGCCGCACCAGCAGCACGTGCTCCTCCTTGGCAGGCAGCGTGGCCGTCAGTACGTTGTGGCCTCGCCTGCCGGCCAACCAAGAGTACGTTACACATGCACCACACCGCACGCTACAATCATACATCATTTGCTGTAATGGGTGATTGAGTGTACCGGTGTTTGCTGTAACGGGTGACTGAATGTGCAGGTGTGTGCAGGTTGCCACGGGCGCTTGCCTCTGCACGAAGCCCTCGAGCAGGCTGTGCAGCACGTGGCTGCGGTAGCGCATGAGCCGCATGTCCTGCGGCGTGCTGTCCACGCACTGCCCGTTGAGGATGGGCCGCTCGAACAGGTTGCTGAACTCCTGTCGCGTGCCCAGGAAGTTCGGTCGCACGAAGTCCACCATGCACCAGTACTCGATGAGGTTGTTCTGCAGCGGGTAACCCGTGAGCACCACGCGGCGCCGCGTGCGCACCGCCTTGAGCGCCTGTGCCGTGCTCGCGTGGCAGTTCTTGATGCGGTGGCCCTCGTCGCAGATGACCACGTCGGCGCCCGGCCGCGTCAGGGCCTTCTCAACGTCTGCGCGACAAGACAGGGAGGAGCGTCGCGTCTTCTCGCCAACGTGGAGCATGGTGAAAGGGGGAGGGGGGTGCAATCCCCGCGGGGTACACAGCACGTCGTCCTCTGTCCTTGCTATGTCTGTCTGCGGGAAATCATTCTTCAACTCACCGGTGAGTCGGGCTGGAACCACAAAGAATTGCCACTTTGCTGAACGCTCGTACGCCAAGTGGTGTTTAATCTGTTTGGCTGTGTCGGGCGCTGGGGGCTTTAAGGATGCAGATTTGGTCAGATTGCTAGGTAGGTGGCCAAACCCGAATGGCTGCGAAAACCTACGAGCTGAATGTCATCGTAGTTCATTCGCTGTCACATCGTAGACCCCGATTTGCAGTGATCGGCCATCAGGGAGAGCGTGCGCATTGAAGGTCACGTTTGGAGGGAGGGAGGAAGGGAAGGGGAGGGGAGGGAGGGAGGCGTACCTAGGAGCAGCTCTTGCTGCCGGTCCTCCTCATCCAGGTCGATGATAACGGGCCCCACCTCCTTCTTGGGCTTCTTCTTGCGCCCGGAGCCAAGCGACGCCTTCTTGAGCGACAGGAGGCGGAACATCTCATAGCCCATGAGCAGAACGCCGCCCCCGGCACTCCACTCGGCGATCACCCGCGCCCGGGCCACCGTCGTCCTGTACGCGCGCGCGCACACACAAAGACAAGGATCCTCTGTATTGCTTTTAACAGACTAAGGGGCAAAGTGCTGTTAGCGAGGAGCACCTGTGAAGGCTGGCACGGCACACGAGGGGTTGGGTGGCCAGCAACACTTCCGGCAGTCTTTGTCTTCCGAGTGGCGAATATTTAAACACCGCACTAGGTACTCATTTGAGGCTGAGTCGACCTAGGGGAGCCCCAGAACCGGTTCAGATAATCGTCACTCGTTTCGGGTCGCTGGGTTTGTAGTGCAGTGCGCTAACCGCTACACTAAAAAACACAACAACAAAAACATATACAGACACACCCACACATCTATTATTCCATGAAGATTCCACTGGTTCAGCTATGAATGCCTCCCTTCGTCCCAAGACTCTTTCCCGAAAAAGTCCGTAATCCCAATCGAGCAATTTGGAGGTAATTTTTCAGCACTGTGATGTTTTGACTGAAACTGTATAATCTTATTTTAGCCATGGGAGTAGGAAAACAGAGAACCCAGAGGAAACCCATGGAGGACAGGTGGAAAACATACAAACTCAACGCAGAAAGGCACCCGAATCTGGAATTGAACCTGGATCCTTCTTGCTGTGATGCACAAATTATACCACTGCGCTGCCACCCTAAACACGATGTGAAGCTAACACAGGCATGTGCAAATATACATACACACATGCATACACACACACACACGCATAAGAGATAAACACATGAGCACATAGGAAAACTAACACATGTGGCACACGCATTGCACAGACACACACACCCACATTCCACTCTGAAAATAATTATTTTGTAACAAACTTGACGGCGATGTTGATACCTCATCATGCTGAAGATGGTGATGCCAGTGATAAAATGTATTGCAATGAAGAGGTGGGTGATGATGATTATGACAAGGTGTACATGATGGTGTATATGACAGTGATGATAATGATATTGTTGTACATGATGGTGTATATGATAATGATGATGGCATGGTGTACATGATAGTGATGAAGACGACATTCTGTACATAATGGTAGTGATGATGCTGATATGTCTTATTAGTTCTTTCGGTAAAGTCATGTAGAAGGGAAATAATAAAATAATAAAAATAAAACATTATAAAATACAATTGTCACGACGTTTCGGCCACAACGCAAGCAGCCGTCCTCAGGTGAAGAACAGGTCTGTCGGAAAGACAGCGTCTGAATGAACACCACCAAGCTTGGCAGCGTATATTTAAGCTGGGTTAGAGGAGGAAGGGCGCCTTGACAAAGGAATTTGCATATCAACAGAGGAATTTAGCATATTTATGGCAATGCAGATATGGGATTAATCACTACTTGTGGAATGCGTAGGTGGGGGGGGTCTCAAAGTCATATTATGCCCGTGCATTATGTAGGATTAGCAGCAACAAAGGGAGGAAGTAGAATTAGCAGAAATAAAGGGAAGGAATTTTAATAGTAAGGAGCTGCAGCAGCCAAACCACCACGTAAAAAACTAAAATATAAACTACATCAATATCACCATTGGAACCTCATTTGCCAGTAGCAAAATATGATAATTGTTTTTTTTGTGGTCAATGCAAACATGACTCCTTGTAAAAAAGGTGTCAGTTTTGTTTCCAGATAAGAGGGTAAAAAAACAATAATCAATACATCAATATCATCAATGTACTAAATATACTCTCCAATAAGCTGAGCTACTAACAGTAAGTCATACATTACAATTCTATGTCGCAAAAAATATTATATGCCTCCAGCTAAACTTTTTCCTTACATCACATGGATCTACCCCGTACTATATACTGCCATAGACAAACCCAAAATTAAATTATATACTACAATACTATACACCTTAGACCAGGGGTCCTCAAACTACGGCCCGCGGGCCACATGCGGCCCGCCGAGGACATTTATCCGGCCTGCCGGGTGTTTTTGCCGCCGCTGCCTGTCACTTATTTTCTACATGAGAAGGACGGTCATTGGTGGAAGAGGGAGAGGGGGTGGCCGCCGCCGATTAGCTGGCCGGCTGAAGCGCTGGATCATGGGAATTGTAGTCCGGCCGCAATCAAGCTTCAGGCGGTGGGAGGAACCGAACAGCGCAGCCGGACTACTACTCCCACCTCCCAGGACTCAGAGGAAGCCAGGGCATGTGGGAGGGGCCGGCTGCGCTGTGAACAAAACTGCAGGTGTAATTAACTTCTTAATGGCACCCGCACCAGTGTAAGCCTGGGGTAAAAGCGGAGTTCCCCCAATCAGACTGCATTGATGGGCAGTGTAGTCTGTATGTCTCTGTGGGCAAAGTTATTGCTGGTATATTGTTTTTGTAGCGCTGTATATATATTGGTATTTTACTAATAGCAATTTTGACTCCCTAGGAAACAATGATGTCAAGAAAAAGAAAAATTGACTCGGAGTGTAGGATATTCAAAGAACAGTGGACTTATGATTACTTTTTCATGCAGTACAAGGAAAGAGCTGCGTGTCTGATATGCCAGAATATAGTGTCTGTGTTCAAAGAATACAATTTACGTCGACACTATGAAACTCTACATAAAGATAAATATGATTGTTTGGTCGGAGAAGTGAGAAAAGATAAAATATTAAAACTGAAAAATACATTAACAACTCAGCAAAATACTTTTGTGAAGCAGAAGCAGCTAAATATTTCATCACTGCGAGCAAGTTTTCAAGTTGCCAAGCTAATAGGGTGCACTGGCAGACCATTCGTGGAGGGAGAATTTGTTAAAGAATGCCTTCTTTCTGTTGCCAAAGAGATGTGTCCAGAGAAGGCCGATTTATTTAGTACAGTGAGTCTTTCAGGACCTACAATTACACGGAGAATTGAAGAAATGGGAGACAATTTGCATCAGTATTTGAAAAACTCCACAAAAAACTTTTCTATTTTTCCTTGGCACTCGACGAAAGCAATGATGTTCGTGATTCTGCACAACTTCTAATTTTTATTCGTGGGACGAATGACTATTTCGAAGTCACAGAAGAGCTTGCTGCATATTTATGGGAAATGCAGGAATGTGATTAGTACTACATATAGGCCGTGCATTATGCAGGATTAGCAGCATCACAGGGAGGGGGATAGGGGTAGCATTAATACTCCTTCCCTTTATTAATGCTACCCCTCCCTGTGATGCTGCTAATCCTGCATATTGCACGGGCATATGTAGTACTATTCACATACCTTCATTTCCCATATCCCCTCTCATTATCACAATTACCTTTATTTTTCAAATGACAATGTAACCATATATAAGTCACTCAGGCAGACGTGAACAACTCTAAAAATACAATTCTGCCTTTCATTCAGTCAGATAACATCGAACAAACTGTATAGAATACCTTAAATTTCCATGAGTTAAATATCTTTACCTCATGAACATTTTAAACAGGAGTTATTAGTAATGCTAAGTGGTATGTTATCATTAAACTTTTAAATGAGTGAATTTTGCCCTTGCCTTTTACAAGATCTTTCAAAAAGCAATAGTTTGTGTCACATCTACAGGTACATAACATCAACAGTTATAACCAAATCTTATTCAAGAGTTTAATAAAACAAGTGCCATAAGTCCAAGTGCATTAGTGTGCTTTAGACTTTTAACTGTTAATAGTGACAGATGTTACCGTTCAAAACACTCAATTTCAGATTGATCAAGGAACAGATAACTTGCTGATACTAATGAGAAGGGTGATACTGAGATATAGATTTCAGTAAAGAGACCAGGTCTGGCTTGAGGACAGTGGTTGAGATGCGTAAAATGCCACGCAAGTGGGAGTCACTCATCCTTGACCTCAATCGGTTCTTATTTAAGTTCATGACTGAGAATGTTTGCTCACACAAATATGTGGAGCCGAATAAGCTCAGCATTTTCTTAGCGAATGACCGCATTTCTGGAAACCTGCTTTTGTCCAACTGCCGGTAAAAGTCAACAAGATAGCACTGCTGGTGTTTTCCGCGGCAGACATCGTCACACTGCAGCTCAATGAGCTCCAGCTGCAGCTGTGGAGGAGGATCATCAGGGTCCACGGAGAAGGGAGAAGAGAGAAGCAACATGTCCTTTTCAATAACTGCAAAGTCCCGAAAGCGTTTGCTAAATTCCACAGAAAGAGATGAGATAGTTGTTGCATAACTCTTCATTTGCGCACCGATGTTGTCCTGTGGGAAACTGTCAATGACCTCCTTCAAAGCTGGGGAAGTGCACGGTGCAGGGCTCTGTTTGGGACAAGTGTCTTTGTAAAAGTTGCAGTTTGGTTCCAAAGGCCTTGATGTGAGCATATAGCTGGCTCACCACTGCATCTTTTCCTTGAAGATTAACATTCAGCGCATTCAGATGCCAAAAAAATCAACCAAAAAAGCCAGATTTGCCAACAATACAGGATCGGACAGTTCTTCCATTGGTTGTTCCTTCTCACCCAAAAAATATCCAATTTCCTCTTTGAGAGAAAAATTGCTGCAGTGCGGACCCCCGACTTAGCCACCTTACATCGTTGTGATATATTACTGCTGAAACTGTCAGTGGTATAGAGCTTTAGAGAGAATATACAGTGATACCTCGGTTCACGAACTTAATTCGTGAACTGACTCTGGTCGCGAACCGAATTGGTCGTGAACCAAGGCACATTTTCCCATAGGGTTCAATGTAAATCCGGTTAATCCGTTCTGACCTTTTTTTTTGGTTTTTGAAGCACAAAAATATGAAACAAATTACAATACACATTAGTACTGTACAGTATAGTAATGTATAAAGAGAGAACACTAACCTTGCTTGAGATGACTTCAGTAAGCACTCAAACGGGTGAACTGTACAATACAGTAAGTACAGTATTGTACAGTACAATACAGTAGTACAGTACAGTACTGTATGTGCTAAAAACACACCAAAAAGCAAAAAGTCACTTAAAGTGTCTTCACAGTACTCACAATACTTCTTTCTGTGTCTCTTCTTCTCTCCACGATCTTCCTACAGGAAGTCACGACCATGTGACAGCCTGGAAATAGCATTAAAATGGCCGCGGCTCCTGTTCGTGAACCGAAGCGGAGTTCGTGAACCGGAGCATATTTTTATGAACTTTTCTGTTCGTGAACCGAGTTGTTCGTGAACAGAAGCGTTTGTGAACCGAAGTATCACTGTACTTGATTGCCTTTGCCACTGGTTTCATAACATCGTCAAATTTGAGATGTTTGGCGCAGAGAGCCTCCTGGTGAACGATACAGTGAAGTTTAAAAGCGTTGCCTGCTTCTTCGCTGACTTTATTGCAGATCAGTGTGGACAATCCACTTCGCTCACCAGCCATGGCAGGTGCACCATCGGTAATGATCCCAGAAACTTTACTCCATGGTAGTTTCATATCATCAACAGCTTCACAAACAGAAACGAAAAAATCTGTTCCTCTGGTTTGCCCATTAAGGCTTTTGAGGTCAAGCAGCTCCTCTGTCACGTTCATGTTGTCATCAACTCCTCTTAAAAAAACAAGTAGTTGTGCAGTGTCAGATGCATCGGTGCTTTCATCGCAGGCTGATGAGAAATAATCAAAAGCCACTCCCCTGTCCCCCAGTTGTCTCTGAATATCTGACGATATGTCCTCAACTCTCCGTGCCACAGTGTTGCGTGCCAGGCAAACATTCATAAATTCTTGCTTCTTCTCGGGGCAAATGTTCTCCACCATTTTCATGACACAGTCTTTGATAAATGCACCTTCAGTAAAAGGTTTGCCATGTTTAGCTATTAACATGGCCACTTCGTAGCTGGCTTTGGTGATGTTTTCCTTTGATCTCACAGGCCCGCGTGAAGAATCGCTGTTGCGATGCCAGAGCAGCACGGAGTTGCTTCACTTTTTCAGTGCGGTCACTCCCTGTTAGCTTGTCGTATGTTGTAGCATGTTTAGTTTTGTAGTGTCTCTTTACATTGAAATCCTTAAACAAGGCATCCGTCTCTTTACAAATTAGACAAACACAATTGCCTCGATTTCCAGTGAAGAAGTATTATAATTCCCACCGCTCCTGAAAGCGGCGGCCCTCACTGTCAACTTTTCTCTTTTTTTTTGCAGTCGCCATGGCATAAATAATTCGAGAAGGGTTTGTGGCACGTATGCAAAGCCAGAGGGCATTAGAATGGTGCTGCCACCGTGTAGCGGAAGGAGGAAGTTTTATGATTTATTTATTCTGACAGAGCTAGCGAGCCATAAATAACACATTATAAAACCGAAGCTGCGGGCCGTATGAAATCTGACCGCGGGCCGTAATTGGCCCGCGGGCCGGACTTTGGACATGCCTGGTGTACACGATGCGTATAGGAGGGTGGTGGTGGTGAGGATGGTGGGGATGACGAGGACTCACTTGTGGTCATCGTTGAGGATGTGAACAGGAAACGTGCGCAGCTGTGCTTCCTCCGTGGCGTCGCCCGGGTTCCCAGTGGCCTGACCCGTGCCACCTTGCCCTGTGCCACTGTGCCCCGCCGGGGGCAGCCAGTGATTGAACTCAGCCAGCCAATTTTGCAGAGTGTTCACCTGCACACAACAGTCACATTGCCTTCATTAGGGTCACACTGGCGTTAAGAGTCACACTGCCATTAGGGTCACCCTGACATGAGGGTCGCGCTGGTATTAGGGTCACGTGGCATGAGGGTCACAAAGAATTGAGGGTCACCCTGACATGAGAGTCACACTGGCATGAGAGTCACCCTGACATGAGGGTCACGTGGCATGAGGGTCACGCTTCAATTCCTTTCAAATGACGTGACTTTCAAGAAGTTTCCAGTGACATCGTTTTGGCGTTGCTTCTGCACAAGCCGTATTCCTCGTTAGCAAAGCTTCAGATTCACGTGCGACAGCCGGGGAGGGGGGGGAGAAAGGAAACTGGAGATGGATATCTGCACAATAAGAGCAGCTTGTTTTTGTCTGTTCAAGGACGCAACACAAATAAGTGAAAGGGAAAGCTCCATAGAGCTGCTGCGCTAAAGGAAGTAGAAACTATCAAACTAAACTATTTTTATCTTGCCAGGTAGGGCCCAATGAGCTATACAGCTCTGTTTAAAAAGTGTCCTGGCCACAAATGATAGCTCACCCAAGTGGCTTATGGTGTAGATATTTATAGCAGCCAATACTCCAAAAGCATGTTTCTAAATGAGGAGAGAAAAACAGGAGAGCCCAGAGAAAAAGCCACGCAGTCAGGGAAAGAACATGCAAACTCCAAATATACAGCAGGCATCAGGGTCTAAATCTAACCCATGACCTCCTGTGTACCAGGCGAGGAAGTTAACTTCTCGCCAGCGTGGCGCCCCGGTGAATGTGAGCCGTCGACGGCGGCGGCCATGAGGGCCGGCCCTGGGCGTGCGGCGCTCACCGGCACGATGGCCAGCACGGTGCGCGCGTCCGTGTGGCGGAAGAGCACATCGATGAAGGAGATGAGCTGCAGCGTCTTGCCCAACCCCATGCTATGGGCCAGGATGCAGCCGAAGCCGCTGGTGGTGCTGTAGCGCTCCTGAGACTCCACGAGGTTGTCGTACAGAAAGCGGATCCCTCCGATCTGCACCCGCACGGCAGAGACCAGGTCGAGACAGCGGGAGAGATGAGGCGACGTGCACACGGACGTCGGGACTTATCTGTTTATTGCTTTATCCATGAAAGCCACAATGAGTCGAAGAACTCTTTTTCAGGAAGGGCCTGCTAAATTGGGTTTTCAGCCAAATAACCCTTTCCCATTCCGAGAAGTTGCAGGGTGTGGGGTTCCATTCACCGCTGAACCTTGGAACGCGTAAGGGGTTAGCGTTAATCTTATTTAGAGAGGCGTAGCGCCGTTGTTTTTAAAGACGTCGTACTCACCGCAAGAGACCGCACTCTACGATAGCTGGCGCCAAACTGTGCCACATGCCCTCCCGCATGGCCTTGTGGGAGCCTCAGTACCGATAAAGTAATCTTATTTTAGTTTTTCTTCAGGTTCCGTTCCGTACATCATCAGAACAGGAAAGAGTTAACGAGTGTTTACTCTGTTAACGGAGCACTTGAAGGAAAACAACGCACACAAGAGGGCAACGCTCTATCCCTCGTACAGATAGAAAGAGATGACGATTAGTCCACTTGTTGCACTGCCTTCTCCCTGAGAGTCACGGTATGGCACCTCGATGCCCACAGGAAGGGAGCTTCGCAACGTTGGTGCAATGATCCTCCAACCCTCGCTGCCTCCACAGTGCTGGATTTTACAGGCCGCGGTCACAGCCACCATCGCCCGGACAAAACAGATTTACAAACAAATTCGTGAAATTGTGGTGAGAGCGGGAAAACTCACGGATGCACCGAACCACGTGATCGAGAGATTCAGTGGGCCTTACCTGGTAAAATGTTAAATTTAGATTGGTTTACTATATCCCTATATATCTGTTTAATGTTTAATATTTCTGTGCCTTACTTTTGTAATTCTCGCTGCAGGGAATTTAATATTTAGCGTTGATTTAACGTGGATTTATGTTTGTGTTTTTATTAAGATTGCTATGAACTTCATTGCTGTAGTTTGCTTTGCTTTTGTCATTTAGGTGATCTAGGCCACTCCTTCAAACGAGACTCACCCTGGTCCCTTACACTCTCACCTGATTAAAAGAAGTCTACTTGAACTAGAACTCTCTTCCCACGTCTCTCCTTCCTCGTGTCGCCATCCCCCCCTCCGTGTGTCTCTCTCCCCGCGTGTCTCTCTATCCCTCTATCGGCTTCTTTTTCTCTCTCTCCCCATGTCTGTGTCTCTATCTCCCCGTGTCCTTCTCTCACTCTCGCCTCGTCCGTCGATCTTTCCCGATGTGTCTCTCTCCCTGTGTCTGTCTGCCCTTGTCTCTCTCTCCCCGTGTCTGTCCCTCTCTCCCCGTATGTGTCCCTTTCTCCACGCATGTGTCCCTCTCACCCCTTGTCTCTCTCGCGATGATTCGCGCACATGCGTGGGCGTTTGCGCGTTGACGACCCCGCACGATAGCGGGGGGGGGGTTGGGGGAGGGGGGGCGGGGAGCTGGTACGAGGTTGGCGCGGCACCTGGTGCGGCTTGACGACGCGTGCCAGCTGAGGCGCCATGAAGATGTCGGGCTCGTCGGGCGGGCGGTTGACGTTGACGAGCACGCGCCCCGCCACGTCGGGCTGGTTGCGCGCGTCGTTGCAGTGCGAGCCCAGAGCCGCCACCGATGCGGCGGCCGCCGCCGCCTCGGCGTCGTCCGCCCCGGCCTCGTCGGCGCTGGAGCCGCTCGACTCGGAGCCGATCACGTGCACAGCCTCGTCCTCCGAGCTCAGCTCGATCACGTCGCCTGCAGACGCAGAGCGCTATGAGCATTGTGTGCAGTGTGCGTGCCGTGTACATGGGGTGCTGTGCGGTGTGTGGTGCGTATGTGTGCGGCGTGTTGTATGTGTGAGGTGTGCATACTAGTGTGTGTGTGGTGTGCTGGTGGTGATACACACGCGGTGTGTGCTCTGACAGGCTGCATTAGGTCTCACCATGGCTGGGCACGTCATCTTCACTGCTGCTCACGCAGATAACCTCGCTCTCCCGCGCACCCTCTTCCAAGGCCGCGCCTGCACCAGCACACACGGCCGCCCGGCAGCATGGCCCAAGTTAACAACCCTGCCTGAGCTGTCTTCACTCTAGAGTGGGCTCTCGCGTGGGGTCTAGAGTGGGCTATAGTAGGATATATGTTGGGGTCTAGAGTGGGGTCTAGAGTGGGGTCTAGAGTGGGGTCTAGAGTGGGGTCTAGAGTGGGGTCTAGAGTGGGGTCTAGAGTGGGGTCTAGAGTGGGGTCTAGGGTGGGGTCTACGGTGGGGTCTAGAGTGGGGTCTAGAGTGGGGTCTAAAGTGGGGTCCAGAGTGGGGTCTACGGTGGGGTCTAGAGTGGGGTCTAGAGTGGGGTCTAGAGTGGGGTCTAGAGTGGGGTCTAGGGTGGGGTCTAGGGTGGGGTCTAGGGTGGGGTCTAGAGTGGGGTCTAGGGTGGGGTCTAGAGTGGGGTCTAGAGTGGGGTCTAGAGTGGGATCTAGAGTGGGGTCTAGAGTGGGGTCTAGAGTGGGGTCTAGGGTGGGGTCTAGGGTGGGGTCTATGGTGGGGTCTACGGTGGGGTCTAGAGTGGGGTCTAGAGTGGGGTCTAGGGTGGGGTCTAGGGTGGGGTCTAGGGTGGGGTCTCGAGTGGGGTCCAGAGTGGGGTCTACGGTGGGGTCTAGAGTGGGGTCTAGAGTGGGGTATAGAGTGGGGTATAGAGTGGGGTATAGAGTGGGGTCTAGAGTGGGGTCTACGGTGGGGTCTACGGTGGGGTCTACAGTGGGGTCTAGAGTGGGATCTACAGTGGGGTCTAGAGTGGGGTCTAGGGTGGGGTCTAGGGTGGGGTCTAGGGTGGGGTCTAGGGTGGGGTCTAGAGTGGGGTCTAGGGTGGGGTCTAGAGTGGGGTCTACAGTGGGGTCTACAGTGGGGTCTAGAGTGGGGTCTAGAGTGGGGTCTAGAGTGGGGTCTAGGGTGGGGTCTAGGGTGGGGTCTAGGGTGGGGTCTAGGGTGGGGTCTAGGGTGGGGTCTACGGTGGGGTCTAGAGTGGGGTCTAGAGTGGGGTCTAGAGTGGGGTCTAGGGTAGGGTCTACAGTGGGGTCTAGAGTGGGGTCCAGAGTGGGGTCTACGGTGGGGTCTAGGGTGGGGTCTAGAGTGGGGTCTAGAGTGGGTCTAGGGTGGGGTCTACAGTGGGGTCTACAGTGGGGTCTACATTGGGGTCTAGAGTGGGGTCTAGAGTGGGGTCTACAGTGGGGTCTACGGTGGGGTCTACGGTGGGGTCTAGGGTGGGGTCTAGGGTGGGGTCTAGAGTGGGGTCTAGAGTGGGGTCTAGAGTGGGGTCTAGAGTGGGGTCTAGGGTGGGGTCTACGGTGGGGTCTGGAGTGGGGTCTAGGGTGGGGTCTAGGGTGGGGTCTAGGGTGGGGTCTAGGGTGGGGTCTAGAGTGGGGTCTAGGGTGGGGTCTACGGTGGGGTCTGGAGTGGGGTCTAGAGTGGGGTCTAGGGTGGGGTCTAGAATGGGGTCTAGAGTGGGGTCTGGAGTGGGGTCTAGGGTGGGGTCTAGGGTGGGGTCTAGGGTGGGGTCTAGAGTGGGGTCTAGGGTGGGGTCTACGGTGGGGTCTGGAGTGGGGTCTAGAGTGGGGTCCAGGGTGGGGTCTAGGGTGGGGTCTACAGTGGGGTCTAGAGTGGGGTCTAGGGTGGGGTCTAGGGTGGGGTCTAGGGTGGGGCCTAGGGTGGGGTCTAGAGTGGGGTCTAGAGTGGGGTCTAGAGTGGGGTCTAGGGTGGGGTCTAGGGTGGGGTCTACAGTGGGGTCTAGAGTGGGGTCTACAGTGGGTCTAGAGTGGGGTCTAGTAGGATATATGTTGGGGTCTAGAGTGGGGTCTAGAGTGGGGTCTAGAGTGGGGTCTACAGTGGGGTCTACAGCAGGGTCTACAGTGGGGTCTACAGTGGGGTCTAGATTGGGGTCGAGAGTGGGGTCTACAGTGGGGTCTAGAGTGGGGTCTAGAGTGGGGTACCGTCGGGCTGGCTGGGCTTGTAGGCCGTCTGCTCGAGTCTCTTGCGCCGCTCCAGCTCCTCCAGCTGAGCGGCGAGAGTGTCGGCCTCAAGCTGCTCCGGACGAAGGAGCTTCCTAGAGCCGCAGCACCACCACCGCCAGATCAACACCACAACCACAACAACCACAGCCACATCCACACAACCACCACATCAACACCACAACCACAACACAACCACAGCCCCATCAACACAACAACCACATCAACACCACAACCACAACACAACCACAGCTACATCAACACCACAACCACCTCAACACAGGGCATGTGTGAGGTGTGCGGGGAGTGTATGGGGGTGTGCAGGGCACGCGTGCAGGGCGCGTGTGCTAGGCACCGAATGTTTCTCCGCATGTGACCGGAGTGAGTGGAACTCTTCTGCCTCTTCCTGGCGATGGCCGTGCCACGCGAGGTCCCTAGTGCCGCTGCACGGTCCGCCCGCTTCCTGGAGGGCACCACGCTGGCGGCTGGATCCTTGGGCGGCCGGCCCTCGCCCCCCGCCTCTTCCTCCTCACCCCCACCCGCGGAATCCCCATCGCTCTCTGCTGAACACACACACGATGGAGAAACGGATGAGAGTGTCGTCGCAGTCACCTCCGCCATTCTCAATGACAACGTTGCCATCTGCACAGCTGACAAGTCCTCGTTCTCCACGACCGTCTCCATCACCCCGCACGTGTGGCACACACGTGGGAGGCACGCACAGGAGACAATCTCCTGGCTCCGCCTCGACTCACGGACACTCAGCAACCTTGCGTTCATCACGGAGGTGAAAGGAAATTGGCGAACCCCCCTTTGTTGGACTTTTATTACCAGGTAAGGCCCACTGAGCTATGAAGCCACCTGGCTATCACAAAATGGCTTATCGTGTGGAAATTTATAGCAGCCAAATACTCGTGATGTTGATTCTAAAATGTGGAAGGAAAAACCGGAAGACCCGGAAAAAAAATCCACACGACTACGGGGAGAGAGACACGCAAACTCCAAATATACAACAGCCGTCAGGGTAGGGATGGAAGCCACAACCTCCTGCACACCAGGCGAGGGATTTACATCTTGCCACTGTGGCGCCCTCTCGCCACAGTATTGAGCGTAAACCTCAGGGTAGAAGAGAACTCGACGCTGGTGTGAACCTGCACGAGAAACCACACCGCCACCACTGCCGCCACCGCCACGCGCAAACAGTAGTGGCCTCACCCTGCGTGCGGATGCTCATGCACCGGACAACGAGAGTGGCATCTGATGAAGAGCGCTTTCTGGTTCTTCGAGGTAACATGTTGCAGCAAGCATTGCAAAACAATGGACACAGCCAACAACAACAGATTAACAGAGCCTCTAGCGAAACAGGTCCCAACCTTTTAGAGTGTGCGGGACCCCCTTTTCAACCGCGAGACATTTTGCGGACTAACACACGCCGCGATTTGTTCTGTTTAGACTCCCGTTAAATACATGGAAATCTAACGTGCAAAACAAAGTAATACGACGCTTCTTGTGCCCCACTATCACTGATCCCCAACATCACCGGAATCTGCCAGAAACGTCCCTCGGGCAAAAAGAAAAGGGGAAAAAACAACAAGCGACGACAAACCTGCCAAATGTAGCCGGCGAAAAATCACCCCCCCCCCCCACCCCCAGTGAGGGAGCTCGCATCCGAGCTCCCAATTCCAAATGGCTCGCGTGGCGGAGCCTAAACAGACTGAAGAGAGTGAGTCTCGGCAGATGCAACTCTCTCGTGAAATCATGGGGGTGGGGTGGCTTCAATGCCACCGACCGACGTGCTTGTCAGGAGAAGCACACCACGTGGATCATCTCCTGAGATGCCCTGCAGCAACCACAATGCACTTCCTCAAGATTTGGCAAATGGAAACACCACAGAAGCGGTGGCCTGTGCAGAGTATTGAGAAAAGACCGTATAGGTTGGACAGGAGAAACGACGATGACGAAGAAGGTAATCAATTGTAATGTAAGCACCTTAAATTGTGAACTTCTTATTAACTTACCTCAACAAATACATTCGTGGGGCATAGCTGTACATGTGCGGGAATGTGTTTATACTGAATAACTCTTCTTGGTTCTTTCGGTAAAGTCACGTAGAAGGGAAGTAATAAAATAAAAAAAATAAAACATAATAAAACAATTCTCACGACGTTTCGGCCACAACGCAAGCAGCCGTCCTCAGGTGAAAACCAGGTCCGTCGAGGCGACAGAGTCTGAATGAAACAGCACACGAGCTTGGAGCATATATATAAGCTGGGCGCATTGACAAAGGAATTTGCATATCAAAAGGAATTTAGCATATTTATGGGAAATGCAGGAATGTGATTAGTCCTGCATATGCATGTGCATTATGCAGGATTAACAGCATCAAAGGGAGCTGCAGTTACTGCTGCTGCTGAAATTACTGCTGCTGCTGCAGTTTCTGCTGCTGCTGCAGTTACTGCTGCTGCTGCAGTTGCTGCTGCTGCTGCACTTGCTGCTGCTGCTGCTGCTGCACTTGCTGCTGCTGCAGTTGCTGCCTTATCCATTTTAATATAACACTATGTATTATTCTACCCACCCTAATGTGTATCACACTGCTATATGTTTACTATAGAATTACGACACCATACATTACTCTGCACACTGCACCATGCCAGTGAGTGGAACGCGGTCTGAAAGTCACCGTAAACGTGAACACAATCAGTTAAGATCCGAAATGGTTTATTACGTCCTTCCAATGATTGCTAAGCCAGAATCCATCTTCTCGGTTGAAATTGTCTCTGTGTTTGTATATGTGGATCGCCTCATGAACGAATCTCTCATGATAGCCAGATGGCTTGCAGAGAACCTCTGTCTTGGAGAAGTCAATGTCATGTGAGCCCACTGAATTGTAACAGTGATCTGCCACGGCTGAGGTGTTTGTCCTACCGTGTTTCAGGTCTGCCTTATGTTCACGGATGCGGTCCGAGACATGTCGTTTGGTTTCCCCAATGTAACTGCTACCACAGAGGCAACTTAGTTTGTAGACGCCAGGGTACTGTATGTCTGGAACCACATCTTTTACAGACGGGACCAGATCACGGATTTTATGTACTGTGTTGAATCGGACCTGGATCTTGTGTTTAATCAGGATTTTGGAGATCTTTTTTGTGACCCCAGCAATGTAGGGTAAGGTGATGGTCTTGAAAGGCTCCTGAACAGGATCCTTCTTGATGGTTGGAGTGATGGCTTTGCGGATTGTGTAGTCGGAGTAACCATTAGCCTTAAGAGCTTGGCGTACGTGTTTGAGTTCACTGGAAATGTGTTCATGGTCGGAGATGCATTGGGCTCTATGATATAGAGTCTTGATGAGGGAATTCTTCTGGGATGGATGGTGGTGGGAATCCGGTTTTAGATAAGCATCCGTGTGGGTGGCTTTCCTGTAGACAGAGTGGCTCATTGAACCATCAGGTCTCCTTTTGATTAGGACATCCAAAAAGGGTAGCTTGCCATCATTTTCGACTTCCATGGTGAATCTGATGGCTGGGTGTATGGAATTGATGTGGTCGAGAAATTGGTCTAGAGCAGGCCGGCCATGTGGCCAGATGACAAAAGTGTCGTCTACGTACCTCTTCCATAAGGTCGGGCGTAGAGTGGCAGTCTGGATGGCGTCCGTCTCAAATTTCTCCATGAAGATGTTGGCTACAACCGGAGATAGGGGGGAGCCCATTGGGGTGCCCTCAATTTGCTTGTAGAAGGTTCCATTCCAGGTGAAGTATGTATTGGTTAAGCAGTGTCTCACCAGGGGGGGTACCCCAGCATTCAGTCCTTGATGAACCAAGTCTTCAATGATTGCGATGGTGTCAGGCACAGGCACCTTGGTGAACAAGGAAACCACATCAAAACTGACAAGCAGGTCGTCTGGGGACAGGGCAATCCCCTTGATTGTCGATACCAGGTCAGTAGAATTTAGTACTGCAGAGGTGGTTTTTCCAGTGAAAGGCCGTAGGATTTCGGACAAAAAACGAGCCAGTTTGTAAGTGGGGGAGTTGATAGTAGAGACAATGGGACGAAGAGGTGTATCTTCTTTATGTATCTTTGGCAAGCCGTACAATCTTGGTGGCCTGGCTGCAGAAGGTTTCAACGATAACTGTTTGGTCTGATCAATTAATGCGGTTGAAGCAGAAATGATGTTGTTGGTTTTGGAGACGAGGCTGTTGGTGGGGTCTCTTTTTATTTTTGTATAGCTGCCATCGTTGAGTAGTTCTTGAATTTTGTTGTTGTATTCTATTTTGTCCATGATGAGAGTGGCATTGCCTTTGTCGGCTGAGAGGATGACAATGTCATCCCTCTTTTTTAATTGAGCTAATTCAAAACGCTCATCTTTGCTGATGTTGCTAGCTGGCATCTTAGCGTTTTTTAACCCTAAAAAACGCTAAGATGCCAGCTAGCAACATCAGCAAAGATGAGCGTTTTGAATTAGCTCAATTAAAAAAGAGGGATGACATTGTCATCCTCTCAGCCGACAAAGGCAATGCCACTCTCATCATGGACAAAATAGAATACAACAACAAAATTCAAGAACTACTCAACGATGGCAGCTATACAAAAATAAAAAGAGACCCCACCAACAGCCTCGTCTCCAAAACCAACAACATCATTTCTGCTTCAACCGCATTAATTGATCAGACCAAACAGTTATCGTTGAAACCTTCTGCAGCCAGGCCACCAAGATTGTACGGCTTGCCAAAGATACATAAAGAAGATACACCTCTTCGTCCCATTGTCTCTACTATCAACTCCCCCACTTACAAACTGGCTCGTTTTTTGTCCGAAATCCTACGGCCTTTCACTGGAAAAACCACCTCTGCAGTACTAAATTCTACTGACCTGGTATCGACAATCAAGGGGATTGCCCTGTCCCCAGACGACCTGCTTGTCAGTTTTGATGTGGTTTCCTTGTTCACCAAGGTGCCTGTGCCTGACACCATCGCAATCATTGAAGACTTGGTTCATCAAGGACTGAATGCTGGGGTACCCCCCCTGGTGAGACACTGCTTAACCAATACATACTTCACCTGGAATGGAACCTTCTACAAGCAAATTGAGGGCACCCCAATGGGCTCCCCCCTATCTCCGGTTGTAGCCAACATCTTCATGGAGAAATTTGAGACGGACGCCATCCAGACTGCCACTCTACGCCCGACCTTATGGAAGAGGTACGTAGACGACACTTTGTCATCTGGCCACATGGCCGGCCTGCTCTAGACCAATTTCTCGACCACATCAATTCCATACACCCAGCCATCAGATTCACCATGGAAGTCGAAAATGATGGCAAGCTACCCTTTTTGGATGTCCTAATCAAAAGGAGACCTGATGGTTCAATGAGCCACTCTGTCTACAGGAAAGCCACCCACACGGATGCTTATCTAAAACCGGATTCCCACCACCATCCATCCCAGAAGAATTCCCTCATCAAGACTCTATATCATAGAGCCCAATGCATCTCCGACCATGAACACATTTCCAGTGAACTCAAACACGTACGCCAAGCTCTTAAGGCTAATGGTTACTCCGACTACAC